ATCTGGTTAAAATTATACATTATTAAAAAAAAATTCCGCATGTAGTTACATATATAATTATTATATTATAAAAGTGCTGCTACATTGACTGACAAATAGCCTGACTCGCAACGGAATGCTGCTACATCGACTGAGGGTTTGGTTTGGGCAGGCATTCTATCAAATAGTTAAAAAAAAATTTATTACGCATTATAATATATTTTTTTTTTTTTTGGCGGATGTAGTTACATCCGAAAAAAATCAGATGTGTAACTACATCTGGTTAAAATGATGCATTGTAATAATTTTTTTTTGGCGGTTGTAGTTACATCCGAAAAAAATCAGATGCGTAACTACATCTGGTTAAAATTATGCATTTAAGAAAAAAAAAAAAAATTCGGATGTAGTTACATCCGAAAAATCTACAGATGTAGTTGCATAGATGTTATTAAACATCAATGAAATTTGGGATTTTATTGCACGGATGTTATTATACATCAATGAAATTTGGGATGTTGTTGCACGGATGTTATTATACATAGATGAAATTTCGGATGTTGTTTTACGGGTGTTATTATACATGGCAAAAACGGATGTTATTGCCCTGACCCATAAAAACGTGCCTTCTTCCAATCGGACAGTTACCGGAAGAGTCTCAAGAAACCCGCAATTAAGATTTTTGTAGATTCCACGAGCATCATAAAACAAAAAACTTACGTATTTCTACAAATATAGGTTTGCTCAATATGCTTTTGGTAACATCAGATCCTGCCATCAACTCAAACAGAGAATTGGTAAGTAAGAAAACCAGTAAATTACCGTTAGAAGCTTTAAATTTATTTGTCCCAAGAAGTTTTAATTTTATTTTTTGGCTTTTGTTAATTAAACAAAACTATATTTCAATTTTTAACGGTATTATAAAATATTTATGTTATAAAGCAACTGCTTATAATGTAAAAATACGATGTAAACTACGGGGCTAAGTGATAAGACTATTTTTGTCTTCTTTTAACATTGTTAACACTGTTTTTTATAAATTTCCTAAAATTCATTGATTTGAGAAAATGAAAAAACATCAAAAAATTTTAAAAAATAACTTACGACAACCAAAGTAACGAAACGCTTGACTACTTGACTAGCAAAACTTTTACATTTTGCAAGTGCGTGAGGCAAAACGGGAAAGTTAAAAAGCAGCATTTATTCGTGAATTGTAAAGCTGATGAAATGATGAAAAATGATTGAAGCTATCTATCGTCTAAATATGTTCAGACAATAAACTCCCAAAAAAGTAACATACCCATAGAAATTACACGCCCTTACGCCACAAAAAAGAAATAACACCTGAAAAAATTTTTTTTGTGTATTTTATTATAAAATACATCTAACCTATATTTTATTAAATTGGTTTTTACCAGGCTTGTGGAGCCGACTGTTTTTTGACGGCTCGGCTCCGGGTCCGGCTCCTAAGAAATATCCGGCTCCGGCTTGGCTCCGGCTCCTTAACTTTATGAACAAAAATTGCAAGTTTAAAAATTATTTTTTTTAATCACATTGACCAACCCAAAACTGTACCAATTACAGAAATTAATTTTTAACCAACTCTCAAGGTTTACAAGGTTATTGTATTACTACTACAGGATATTACATTTGAAAAGAAATTTTTTTTGGGTAAATAAACACTTTTTTCTATATATTATTTACCCAAAACTAAAGTTTTTGTTTCAAATTTTAGTTTTAATTCTACCTTGGGGACACAGTACTTAAAAAAGACGTTTTTTGAACGTCCAAAAAACGTCTAAAACGTTCAAAAGGCATCTCAAACGTTCAAAAGACGTTTAAAAGACGTGTTCTCCCCCCACTGAGTCCCGTGCCCACTGGGTATCCAGTGGGCACGGGACCTAAAAAAGTGTATTTTGAACGTTCAAAAGTCGTCCGAAACGTTTAGAAGACGTTGAAGACACTCCAAAGACGATTAAAAGACCTCTTTTGTAAGTCCCATGCCCACTTGGTAAAGCACTCGTTAAATTAAAAACGATAAAAAATTCAAAAAAAATGAAAAATAGTTTAACTAATGCAAAAACTACAAAAAATATTTATTTTAATCTAAGGAACTTGAAAATTATAAAAGTGCTTTTTACTTTAATATTTTTATTATTTCAAATAAATAAGCAAACATTTACGCTTATTAACGACATCAACTTCTCAATGGGACGGAGTTGTGTGCAAATTGATGGATTCAAGCTTTTTGGTATGAATTTGATGTCACTCTTCTTAGAATAATGACAAGAAACAAGATTAGGCTAGAACCAACAAGGGACATTCTGACTTCAATAAAATTCCAAAAGTCTAGCTTGCAAGTATTCTTTGATGTAAACATTCAAGTTTAAAATTGAAGATGTGACAAAAGCTCGAGATTTCAAACTGCAGCTGCATATTGCTTGAAAAATTGTAATCTTTAAAAAATTCTGAAACTTTATATCCTTTGGCTCGCACTCTGTTTGATAAGCCCGGGTTTTGCGTGAATGATCGTCGAATACTAATTGCGGTTTTCTTATCCTTAAAGCTACTTTTTCACCCAGATCCTTTTCTTGTTTGATAGATAGAGAGCTCTTGTATTGTTTTATGACAATCCAAACAGTAGTTTTGCTTGATTCAGATGCCTTAGCAATTGAAATTAACGATGTAGAAGGACTTTGTAAATAGTTGTGCAGAATTTTTTTTCGTTTTTCTATTTGTTTCAATGACATTTTAATTAAGAGCAACATATTGATTCGTTTGTTGATGTTTTAAATTAATACCATAATTACTTTATGTAATTAAGTGAAAAAAATAATTTAATAATGTGTTAGTGACAAGTTTTAAACGAAATTTATTGTTCCAAATTAAACGATCGTATGCTTTAGTTTAATTTTAAAGATATCAATAACTTTGATCAATAAATCGCGCATTAAATATTTAACTGCATAGTATCAGTATAAAAATATAATATAAAGCAATATGTGCATCACTGAAATGTTTTCATTTATAATTTCCTTTTTTTTAATAAAGAGTATTAAAAAATTTTATTAAAGGATAGTATTTTGTTGAGCACAAAATTGTTAAAATATTCATTTTTATTAAGTTTTGGCATAAGCGTAACTGTTAGAAAAAAATACTTTCAAAAAAAATTTTTTTTTTTATTTGCATTCACTCCCAACAAGGCTGCAAGCAACCACTATCAAGTTGGGAGTTACTAGCAAAAAAAAGAACAGAGTTATAGAGCAAGGAAACGGTTGACAGAAGACTTGAAAAGTTGAAGGTTGTATGAGTCAGGAAAACAATAGAAAAAATAGAAGTTCAATAAATAAAATAAAAAAAATAGAAGTTCAATAAATAATTCTAAATAAATAAAATAGAAAAAAATAGAAGTTCAATAAATAATTCTAAATAAATAAAATAGAAAAAAATAGAAGTTCAATAAATAATTCATTCAAGAAATTAGTTTAACAATAAATGAATAAAGTTTGTCTACAGTAAAAAAATAAACGTACATTCTATTCCATTAAAAAAACATGAGAGCCGCTCAATTTTTGCGGCTCTGGCTTCGGCTCCACCAAAAAATAGCGGCTTCCCGGCTCCGGCTCCACAAGCCTGGTTTTTACTACTAAATTTGAAATTAAACAAAAAAATTTTATGGATCACATAAATCACACAAAAATATTCTGAAACTATTTAGCATCATTTTTGATAAGCTGACTTATTAGCAATATGCCAATGTAGAGAAAACACAAACATGCCATATGCATCAGCAGCTTTTCTAGCTTTAAGTTCCTTTTCACATGTAGCTAAATTTTATATCATTTTGGATGATTGATTTTTCTTAAATCATTTCTTACTTTCTTTATTTACATTAAGTACTATTAATAATCGAAGTTAAGTTATAAAAATAAGAACTTTTATGAATTTATTACAAAAATTGCTTTTCTAAATAAGAAAAATAATATTTTAGATTAAAAACAAAATCATTAAATCACCAAATGTAGTAATATGTACAATATTATAAATAGCTTGTTGTTCCACTAAAGTCATTTCACTGAAATTAATACTATTCAAAAAGTTCGACTCTAAATATTTTTTTAAAACCAGATTCTAAAAGAGGATAAAAAATAATGTCTGAAAAATATAAACATTTTTAAAATAAAGCAAATTCGCAATAGTTCAAGATAAATCCTTTCTTGTTGTATTGCTTAAGAAAATACGCAAACTTTGTTTTTCGCAAACTTACTGATGCATTCTGGTACTTTATTGCATTTTGATATTAATAAAATTTTTTTTACAATAATTTAAGATGTTTTATCAAAAAAAAATTTTTTAACTATGATACAAAACTTCAGGCATAACTGTCCCGTTATTCCCCACTGTCCCGATATACCCCGCTGTACCCTACATTAGTAATGTTATCAAAGAATAAATTAAGTTTGAAAAACGGAACGGAAAACTTAGTTACTGGATAAATGAACTTTAATTCCTCGGAAAATATAAGTTTTAGCAGTTAAATTTTTTTAAAAATATTTTATATATTAGTAAAGATTTCTAGAAAGTTACAGGATTGCACTATGTATCATGTATCAAGCCACAACAATCGTTTAAATAAATGAACTGAATTCATACATGGGTGCGCACACAAAAACCAACTGGAAACTATTTAAACAGAATATCCCCTGTATATATGTATACAACTTCTCTCTCTATATGAAATACATATATTATATATGCATTTTTTAACAGCATATATACATGTCATACTTGAATAAGAAAAAGGTATTATAAAAACCCGCCTATATATATATATATATATATATATATATATATATATATATATATATATATATATATATATATATATATATATATATATATATATATATATATATATATATATATATATATATATATATATATATATATGTATATTAGATATTAAAAATATTGAAAAATTATGGTTATTGGAAAATGATAATTCAAAAAAAAATAATAATTGGTTATTGGAAAATGATAATTCAAAAATTGCGCTAAATATATTGAAAAAAATTAAAATGTTATATACTTTATAGTAAAAAGAATATCTTAACAAAACGATTGGAATTTAACAAATTAAAGGTCATTTTTAACAAAATCTTTTCCAAATAAAAAGAAAAAATAATGATTTTTTTTTTGAAAATCAAAATAATTTCAAATATAAAATTAAGATTTTTAAATTATTTTGAATAGACTTTAACATTAAAAAATTAGGAAATATCGCTATCTGTGAATCTAACACATACATACTCTATTATATGAACATATACAAAGTCTTTTTTATTTCATACACACACGCGCGCGCATATATACTCGTAAATTCTATAAAATCGTTGAAATGCCTGCTGAGCATTTCAAACTTTTATAAAGTATTAAAAAAAAACGATGTGTTTTTCAGACGATGAGAAAATAAATATCACCTGCAAATTGCTACAAATCTAAAGCTGCAATGAATTCATTTTCGAATAGAATTTTTTTTTCTATTGTTGTTCTTAGAAACCACTACAACTATAACACGAGACCCAAATACTGATACAAAACTGGGTTACCATAGTATACTACAAAACCAAGACCAATGTAATTAAAAAAACGCACTACGTGACTTATATTCCAAGGTTCTTGTTGCTTTAGTTGGGAAATATTTCTTAACCGGACATCTTGATCGTCGTCGTTTTCTTTCTTCTAAATAAATATAAATTGAAAATCTATCAAATAACTTTTTAGGAGAAATGATAATTATATAACTAATTTTTAACAATTTTTTTTGTAAAACCTGTTCTTACAGTCCTAACTACACTCAAAATACACCAGCCTAATATTCCGTATTTTCGCCGCAAAAATAGAAGGGCATAAGAAAAAGCATAGTCATGGGAAAATACATAGCCTGAAAGCAAACTTTTAATTTTAAATAGACCGTTTCTATTATTTTGTCGTTTTAAGTTGAACTTCGTTAATTGGCCTGTTCATCAGGCATAAGTTTATATAACGAAACAATGGCATGAAATTTTAACAAAACCTAGATGTACTATTATTTAAAGGTTGCTTGGTTTATTATCATTAAAATAAAAGTTGCTCAAAAAATTCAATTTTGTAATGTTTACCAAACTACGTTGACGACAAAATAAATAGCACATGTTCAATATGCAATGATGTATTTTCTAGAGATCTGATCTAAACTTTTTCAGCCTAATAAAATATTATTTTTAGAAGATAACTTTACTGAGCTAGAAAAGAAAGTAACTTAATTAAAATCTAGTAGTTAATTTTTGGCGCGCCAGCAAAAGGATTCAGCTTAACGATACAGACAATGGCTCCGTCTTCTCTGGGAGTTGTCTTTCATTCTCGAGACTTGGGTTTTTTTGTGAACCAGTATTGCTAAATAAATTAATAGGATTGATGACTTTCTTACAAGAAAAAACCAATCTTCAAACTATTTTAGAAATGTTCAATCCTTGATCTCGAAATGCCTGTACATGTCCTCAAAAGACATCTGTTCCATGTTTACCACGCCCCATAGTTGATAGATGATGAATTTCGCTCAATGAATAACAAGAATATTCATAACCCCTTGACTTCCCAATAAAGTTAAAAGATGTTTAGAAAAATTTAACTAAAAAAACAACAAAACGATCACTCGTTTTCGCAGTAAAAGGTTTATAAATAATATATCAAAAGAAAAAAAAATTATGCACCATTCAGTGATACCATTTATAAATTACTGAAACCGATATTTTGGTGTTGAAGTCACAGTTTTGAAGATCGTTTTAAAAGCCACGATCGTGGCTCGCAGAACTTCAACAGAAGAACCGCAGTCAAATGAATAAAATACTGAACAGAATGATTTTCTTTTGATATAATGTAAGAATTTAGTTTTTTTAAAAAAAAGTAGATCTGTGCTATTTAAAAATACCGTAAAGATGGAAACAGAACCGCTAAAATTGATCAAAACAATCAATTTTTGATAAATTTAAATATCAAATGAGTTCAAAAAAGTAAACATTGATGATACAAAAAATAACAACTTTGCTATAATATTTGAAGCATTTAGGAACAGTCACAGTAAAAGGATGAGACTTGATTGAATGATAAGTAACATGAGGACGAATTTTAGATGGCACAAGAGATGCTAGCCCTTTAGAGCAGAACCAATTATAGTATTTATAGAAAAGAGAGAGGAAAAGTCCAACTATGTTTACAATGTATTTTTGAGCCTTATCTAAAAGAGAAAGGGTATCATTCAGGGTTGCAAAAAAATCGGTTTTTTGAAAAAAACCAAAAACCATAGGTTTTTTTAAAAAAACCAAAAAAACCATGGTTTTTTTGGTTTAATTAGGTTTTTACTAAAAAATGCGGTATTTAGTTATCCTTTTAAATTAAAAAAAGCATAACGTATTTCATTTGAGTAAACAATATTCTTTATCAATATTATTGTTATATTTCATCAAAATTATTTAATACATCATTGTTTAATGTTCTATATATAAATACAAGCTTTGCTGCTTTTTCTACTGTCAATCGGTTTCTTAACTTATAATGAACAAAACCAATAGTTGAAAAAATGCTTTTGATTTCAGCACTAGAAGTTGGTGCATTTAATAAACCTTCAATATCCATTATGTTATACTAGATTTGGCTTTTAATTTGAATAATATTGGTAACAAATTCTTGAACTCTTTATCTGCGAAATTCATGGCAGCTTCATTTTGTTTTCAGAAATATTAGATCCAAAATATCTAGGATCTAGTGTGTTTGCCATGAAATGAGCATCACTGACAGTCTGAAGATATCTAGATTCAATTTTTTTTTTTGTTTGTTTGATAAAATTGATAAACTGTTCATCAAATCTTTAAAAATTTCAAGAGTCACTTATTTTTGTTTAACCTCTTTGCAACTTATCTAGAGCTACTGCAATTGGTTTCAATATTTTCAATAAATCTTCTGTGTTTCACTTTATCTGTATATCACTTACTTTTTTACCAATCACACAATCCAAGTCTTTATTTTTTTCAAACATTGTAAAAATAATGGTCCATTTGTTGACATATTTTTCAAGTGAATCACATACAGAATACCAGTGAGTTTTAGTAGGAAGTGGCAATTTTGTTCCTCTGCCTAATTTATAAAGTGCTCCAGCTTGATGATTATTTCTTATATATCTTATTAGTGTAACATGCTTGCTCACATTTTCAATGTTAAGATCATTTGCTAAAAAATTCAGAATATGAGGAGCACACCCATAAGTTATGACAATATCTCTTTCAGATAACAATAGTTGTCTCATTGATTTCACATTAGCTGCATTGTCAGTCATAAAGCTTTTTACTGTGCATCCAAATTTACGTCTTACAAAATCTATTGCTTCTCTTGCTAATTGTGTAAGATATTCACCAGGATGTGAATGACCAGAAGTGTTGATTGTTTCTACTAAAATGTTAATTTTATCTGTAATTACAGAAATACAAACTATAGGTTCATTATGTATATTACTCCAGCCATCTAAAGACACCCATTCAATACATTACATTTTTCAATTTCTTCTGTGTAAACCCTATTTAATATTTCTCCCCCAATTTCTGTTCTATTAGGTAGAGTGTATCCTGGATGAAGCATATTGATAATATATATTTATATTGAAGATTAGTTATATTTGTGAACGTAATCCTGTCTTAGTTTCCTGTTGTAAGTTCAAATCTTTTAAAAAAAACATTAGTTTAGCTTAAACCAACATTTTTTAAATTGGTTTAAACCAATGGTTTAAACCATTTGGTTAAAACCATGCAACCCTGGTATCATTTGAAGATCTGCTCCAGATATAGCAACATTATTCCATAAAAGGACGAATTTGAGACTTATAGAGATAATGAATAGAATCCAGAGAAAAAAAAAGGTGAACATGATAAAGAGATGCAACCTTAGAAGATGCTAATTTTGCAATGGATTTGATATATGGTTTCTAAGAAAGGTCAGAAGTAAGAGTTAATCATAGAAGACGAAGAGTAGATGACCCATCAAGTACATTACGGTCTATAAATATAGGAAGAAAAATTGAGTTTTATCTGAGTTAAAGTTCACCAGCCATTGAGAGCCCCATGATGTAGCAAAAGTAAATCCTTTTTAACCTCAAATGCCCACCTTCTAGCAATCAAAGAGTGTTGGCTTCTTATTTAGACAAGAATAAATATATTCTAAAAATATCATCAGCAAACAATGCTACCTTAGATATGAGAACCTCTGGGAGATCATTAATGTAAATAAAAAAAGTATAGGGCCAAGGATAGAATCTTTAGGAACCCCTCAAACTACAGGAAATGAAAAAGAGTGCTTTCCATCATGGATAACTTTTATACTACCATTAGTAAGGAAAGATTCAATAATCTTAAAGATATTTCCTGATACACGGTAAGTAAAGAGCTTATGAAGAAGACCGGCTTATAGAGATACCAGGTTTTAGAAATGTCAAGAGCAATAGCCTTACCCTCTCCACATCTATCTAATGCACAATAAAACGTATCGGTTATTACCGTTAACAAATCAGCAGTAGAACGAGAAGATCAAAATCATACTGATGATTAGAAAATAAGTTATTAATTAGATTTAAGATGAGAGATTAAGTATTTGTTAATTAAAGACTCAAAAACCTTGCTTATGATAGTAATCCCATTAGAAATACTAATGGGTTGGTAGTTAGACTATAGGGATAACAAATGCCGCTTTCCAGCAGACTGGAAAACAAGACTCTGATAAGCACTTGTTAAATAGTTTTGAAAGTATAGATGACAGCTCTGGACTACACTTTTGCAAGACTATAACAGGTATGTTGCTTGCACCACAAGCTGTAAAAGAGTCTAAACAGGAAATCACTTTAGATGCAGAAGCTGGAGTGATACAAATGTCAAGCAAAGAATCAACCTGATTGTCAGCTAAATCAGGTAGGATGTGATTAGCAGAATCAAGATATGAGATTGCTGAAAAGTTTTTAGCCATCATTTCAGCTATGTTTTTAGGTGAGGTAACAAAATTAGAACTATGCAAAAGAGGTAAAACAACAAGTTTGCCCTTATTATACACATTGGTCAAGATCCTTTAGAAGTTTCGAGAACCTAATTTTAGAGATTAAATACAAGATTTCCTGACCTGTAAATAGCGGACTTAGAACCTTTTTACAATGATTTCTAGCAATAGTAAACAGATGCCTATTTTCTGGAGAATTGTTTTGGCGATAGATATGGAAGTAGTAGTTACAATTGAAAATTGCAGCAGCACAACAAGAAAAACCATAGAGAAGAATGAGGCTTGACTAGGAATTTTCAAGAGGGAATAAAAAATTCCATGTCAACCTGAATCCAAAAAGTTACATAAGAAGCACATTTATCAGCAGGAAGACGAAAGATTCTACCCATCAAACAAAATCACGGAAAGAGTCCCAGTCAGCTTTAAGGTAGTTGTAAGAGGTACAATAATAGGGGGATTCTGATGATGAAGAAGAATGAGATAATAGTTTTAGAGAGATCAAATCATGATTAGAAGCACTTACGGGTGAATGTGGAAAAAATGAGCATTAACTAGGATCAGAAACAAGACATAAGTCAAGTAGAGAAGGTAAATGATTTGGATTGCCTGGAGAGCGAGTTGGAAAGTTGACTATTTGTATTAGTGATTCAGAAAAACAAAAATTGTGGGCCTGCAGAGCTAAAAGCCAAGCACTAGAGCCAAACCATTCAGTGGAATAAACATTCAAGTCACCAACAACAACGATATTGACTGAAGGATAAAAAGAAAAGGCTTGGTCAATTTGATCAGAAATAACATAGAAAAGAGTGTAGTCTTGAGATGAAGGATAGCAATATAGAACAAAGAGAAAGGTGATAGAGTGAAGTAGTGCTAAACAAAAGCACATAAAAAAATATAGTATGTGTATTCAAACCTAGTTTCCAGACAAATGGCTAAATTCGTACAAGTGTAAACACCCAAGCCAAGCATGTGACTATTGAAGTCTTAATTAAAGGAAGATAACCAACACTAAGGTTACAAGATGTGACAGCTGAATTCAAATTAATCTCACAAAAGAGCAAATAGGTCTAGGGAACTTTGTAAAAGACTCAGCAGAAGAAAACTTACTTCGAAGACCACAAATATTAGTTAATGACAGATCTAAAGAACTTGATGACGATAGTTTTTTGTGTTTTATAGTTTTTGGTACTTTAGACATTTTTGGATTTATTTATGAACTTGACTCGATAATGGACACCTAAAGTATGTATGGATAATGTCCCTGACATTATCCATGCAAAACATGGCACTTTTAGTACTTTGATACTTATCAGCTGTTGATGGAATCAGTTTCTCTGAAAGCTACCACAGAGTTTGGGAAACCTGACTCATAAACTGCTTCAAAACCATAAAACTAGGTATTAAAGATGGGAATTAAAGCCTTCTTTTAAAGTTTGGGTCTGGTTCGGTTATATCTAATGTTCGAGTTCGGTTTGGTCTTAGGCACAGTTTGGGTTTGGTTCAGTTCAGTAATAACTAAAGTTCGGTTTGGTATCAACACTGTTGATACCAAACCGAACTTTAGTTATTACTGAACTTTTAGTTATACCATTTATTTATAACTTTTATTTATAAAATAATAAACGGTATAACTTTTAGTTATACCGTTTATTATTTGTTATTTAGTTATACCATGTTTATTAGTTGTTACATTCACAATAATAAAAACTAAAGTAATATTAAGTAGCTTAATCATTATTATGAAATAATTAGCAAATATTTGAAATAATTAGCAATGCTTTAACTACTGCTATTTCAAAAGTTCAAAAAACAAAACGCTGCAGTTAAAATGCGCAAAACATAAAAGTAGTAACTTTTTGAACACAGGTAGCTTAAGCAGGCTATTGTCAGTCTAGTATAAGGGTTGCATGTATATATTTGAGAAATAGCAACATTTCTAATGTTTCTGGGTTTAAATGAGCCCTGCAATTACTCATCGTCACCCCACACACTGAAAAGACTCTTTCATTGGCAGTACTTGTAGCAGGAAAAGCCAATAACTTTCTAGCAATCAATTCCATCGTTGGAAGTTTATGTTCACAGTCATTGTCTTTCCAGAATTGCAATGCATCACACCCTGTCACAAGCAGTGCCAAGTATTTTTCAAATTCATGTCTTGTGTCATTACTTCCAGCCTTAGACAATGGAGTAGGAGCTATTTTAATGTTTACCAGCAAATCATACAATTCAGGGTCAGTTTTACTCTTTTTTAAAGGAAGTAGTTGATCTGAATGACTGCATTTACTAAAGTTGTCTTTATATGTACTGCCTGTGTTATTGCGTATCACCTAACGTGTTAAAAAATAAATAATTTTGTCTACTATACTACGCATCTCTGAATAAACAAAATTGCGATCTTCTGCATTGACAAAAGACAAATATTTGAAAGAAGGAACAATAAGTGGTGATTTGCTTGTGCAAAGGATAAATAATATATTTTTCATTCAAGCTGAACAGAAAAGCTGCCTTCAAATTACACATAATGTCACTGTCTGAACCATTGATCTTACAGACAGACCATAAACAAATTAGTATGTTATGTATTATTACATAATTACACATATTTAATAACTTATTGTTCATAATTATGAACAATAAATTATTACATAAGTAATTGCTCATAATTATGTGGTGTATTATGTTATGTATTGTAGACTTATAGTAACGTTAGAATTATCTTGTTCTATCTCCATTTTTTGAAAAGAGTTATAGATAGTGTTGTGTAAGAAAACATAAGTTATTAAAAAAAATTTATATGCTGTCTCCTAAAATCTTTCCTTTTTAAATTGTTTTATCTCAAAACTAAAACATATGGAGATAAAACTGACATTGCTTTATCTTATGTATTGAAGTGCAAATTGAAAATTTTTTACTACTATAAATCTTTTTTTGGTTTGGTTAGGGTAAGGACGGTTTATTTGATTCAGTTTGTTCCAAAAAATGTCAAGTTGGGGTTCGGTTTGGTAAGAAGTAAAGTTTGGGTAAGGTTCAGTTCGGTCATAGGTAAGGTTCTAGTTCGGTTCATTCGGGTTCGGTTTATTTCCCATCTGAAGTTTTAGAGCAGTAACCTCATTAGGAGATAATAGAATGAGTTGCCTAGTCATAAAAAAAGAAAACATGAGCAGAATGTGTTGAGCCAAGAAGATACAGCATTCAACATTTTAAACTAGAAATAATGTATTATAAATACATCTACACCAACCTAATAGATGAAAAAAGGGGCGCAAAGCTGGTTAATAGATATAATGTGTTTATTATTTTTAATGTTTTTGAAAAACACATATATGTTTATAGAAAATAATTAAACTATTAATTTAATACTTTTTTAATTCTTTTAATTATAACATTTTTGATATTATCAGTTTAAAAGAAAAAGTAGTTAAGTAAGGAATAAGACCTACAATAACACATTTTACGGGGTTTTCTGCTAGTTATTTTATTATTAAATGTGAGGTAAATATGATAAAGAGATTGATGACATCAATCAATTGCTACAGAATGATCATTGAATTTCAGTTTTTCCATTTAATAAAATGAGAATAATGTTGAAAACATGCTGCAGTTTTAGTATGCATCTTTAAATCAGTATATTTTGATATTTTAAATTGATCTTGATTGAGACTTGTAAACATATAATTCAAAGTTTAAAAGTATTAAAAATATACTTTAAAATTTTTTCTGCATCATTTTTATTATTTTTAATGTTTTTGAAAAACACATATATGTTTATAGAAAATAATTAAACTATTAATTTAATACTTTTTTAATTCTTTTAATTATAACATTTTTGATATTATCAGTTTAAAAGAAAAAGTAGTTAAGTAAGGAATAAGACCTACGATAACACATTTTACGGGGTTTTCTGCTAGTTATTTTATTATTAAATGTGAGGTAAATATGATAAAGAGATTGATGACATCAATCAATTGCTACAGAATGATCATTGAATTTCAGTTTTTCCATTTAATAAAATGAGAATAATGTTGAAAACATGCTGCAGTTTTAGTATGCATCTTTAAATCAGTGTATTTTTATAAAAGTTAATCAAAGCAATCCTTTTCAAAACTTGCAAACTTCTGTCTTAACTATATTTCTAACAGAATCACTCATACCATCTTGTAAGAAACAAGCTTCAAAAGTTTTCAAAAAGATGTTCACACTTTTGTAGAAAACCAACCACAATGAAAATAACAAGGAAATAAAAGTAAAGACAATATGCATTTTTATCTTCTCAATGATATAAATTGACATTGAGACACATTTGAATCACTGGTTATTTCAATTAAAATAAAAAATCAATCTAGCTTGTTAAAAACATGTTTGCAAAATTAAAAAAAAAAACTATTATACAAAGACTATTATACAAAATTATCTGGTAAATGAACATAAAAGCTGCATAGTAGTTTTTCAAGTGTTTTCACTAAAAATAAGGAGTCATTGATTTAACACTTAAAAAAGAAACTAAAAAACTCAAGTTACAATATGTAGCTTTGGCAAAAATTAGTAATTGTTTATAACAATTTATAAATTTGAACAAATTTTTAAAATTTTTTAAGGTTATTAAAAGTTTTTTGATAAGACTTCTCATAATAAGATTTTTTTAACAAACAACTTGTATAATTACTGCACTACATAATTAATTTGACAAATTGCTTTTTATGAAATAAAAAACAATTTGCGAACATATAAAAAAAAATCAGATGGACTTACTTTATTATGCCAAATGGGTGGAAGTCTGTAGTTTTTTGAAAATCCAGTATAATAGACACTAGTTTTGGATTTAGAATAATATCTTATATCAGTTAGTTTCAGAAGAACTTCAATAACAGTCTGAATAACTATTTTTAATACAACACGAGTAACAAGAACTACCAAAATTCCTAAAAAAATAAATTAAAAAAACTTATTCTTATAAACTTTAAAGACTTGAACCTCATTATCTTGTAGGATATATACAAGTTAACAAACTTGTATGATCTTTAACAAGGAGAAAATATCCAATCCAGTATATTTACTAAAACTTAGAATATAGTGAAACAAATAGAATATTTTAATGTTGTTTGCATTTTATGAAAAATTATTTAAAACTTTAAAAAAAGATTTTCATATTAGACTTTTAACTAACATTATGTTTTTAAGATTATGATTATGTATCTGCGTCTTCTCATATCCTCGCAGAAGCTCTATTTGAAATATACAAAACAATAACTATCATTTTGTACTATTTTTACAAATTAAAAAAATCTCATTTAATTTCATGTTGGTTTTATTAAAACAATACTTTTTTGCTGTTTCATGCTGTTTCATATCATATTATTTTAAGACCTTTAATTATAATACTAGTTTATTGTTTTAAAAAAAAAGCAACAAAAATTTATTGTAAAACTTACCTAGAACAAATCGACATACTCCCACAGCCACAGCACTCATAATTGGTGTTTTACCTATATAAAAAATAAAAAAAAATAAAAAAAAATCAACAAAATTATTCTTATTATCTTCATCACTAAAACCATACCATACTTATACATTTCCATTAAAGATTTTAAAGGTGCAGAGCGTCCATATGAAGCAGCACGACCAAGAACAACTCCAACCATACTTGATACCATTGCAGTCTAAATCAATAAAATAACCCAATTATAGAGCTGATAACAACAGACCATAAAGCAAAACAGACAGACATATAAATAACATCAAAACATACATGTTTTATGAGATTTTGAGATAAAAATAAAAATTTATAAAAAACTAAAACTTTTAAAAAAAGTTAAAATTTATGACAAAATCTTTCCGAAAGCTTTCCCTGATCCCTGAAAAATCATTGATTCAAGACATTTTTGAAATTTACATAATTTTCACAAAATTTTATTGATATTTTAAATTGATCTTGATTGAGACTTGTAAACATATAATTCAAAGTTTAAAAGTATTAAAAATATACTTTAAAATTTTTTCTGCATCATTTTTATTATTTTTAATGTTTTTGAAAAACACATATATGTTTATAGAAAATAATTAAACTATTAATTTAATACTTTTTTAATTCTTTTAATTATAACTTTTTTGATATTATTAAATTATTCAAGTCAATTTATTACCCTGACCACCTATTAATTTTTTAAATAAAAACAATACAAAGGCTATGTAAAAGTCAAGACTGTAGGACTCAATCCTGCTGAAAAAAAAACTGATTTAATCTAAAAAACAATTTAAAAAATGAAATTTATACTATCACTAATAAATCAAAAGTTTGTTGATTCGTTAGTGATGGTATAAGAAAGAGTAATTGTATATACATTTAAGATTTTTTATAGATTCTGAGTATATTCCATCTCTATAATTTTTTTTTATATAAAAATTATATAAAAAAAAAACAACTAAATTTTATAAGCGACGACTTTAAACAGCGATCTTTAATAAACTTTATATAAGCATCATTAAAGTTAATTCACTCGAAAAGTAGAAAGATTTTTTTGTGAAGAGAAAAAAACTTTTTTGAAATATGTTTTAATATAAAATATAAATACAAAAATATAGTTATTCAAACTTTGATCTTTACTTATGTTTTTATATTATTAAAACGAATTTAAATAAATTAATCACTGCTAATGATTTTTTATAAAAAATATTAATGAATAATATATATATTTTTTATATTTATATAAGTATGTACTTTTTATTATGTCTTTAAAAAAAAACTATAACAACTTTTTAAATAAACGATTTAATTATTTTTTCTTTTTTATTAAACAATTGTTAGATGTAAGTTGTTACTTTATTTAAAAAGGATTTTGCATAGTACTCTATTATAAAAACATTAGTAAAGATAAACGATTCAAAGTTATTTGCTTCAAATGTAATTTAGATTATAGGTTATAGTTTATTAGTGGTTTATTAGTAGTGGAGTCTACATCAGTCAAAGAGTTCAAATCTAGACTTAAGCTGATTGACTTGCAGATAATATTGAAGAAAAACAGGTTTCAGTTAAATTTTCAGACAACTATTGTGTTGGCTGTCATAGATATTGGCTGGCACTCTATCTCATTTGAATTATTTTTATTATTTATTTTAGTTGAGTGTTAATTTTTTTTTTTTTTAATTTAGTTTTAATTAAGTTATTATTATTTTATTTAGTGTTATTTTTTTTACGAAGACTTTTTTGATAAAGTTTCTTTATAGTTAAGATAAAGATGATTTTTCAGCTCGTTTTTAGATGTATGCAAATTTTCAAAACAAATTTTATAAACAGCCGTGGTCAAGTTTTTAAAATCAAATTGTATTTGCATGGTCATATTATGAGGTAAAATCGCACGCCTTCTTACCAAACCTGATAATGTGTAGTAAATGTTGTGATGATGACAATTTATGATTATGTGTAGTAAATTTAGTGATTATGATAAATTATGATTATGTGTAGTAAATTTAGTGATTATGATAAATTATGATAATGTGTAGTAAATGCAGTGATTATGATAATTTATGATAATGTGTAGCAAATGTAGTGATTATAATAATTTATGATAATGTGTAGTAAATGTAGTGATTATAATAATTATGATAATGTGTAGTAAATGTAGTGATTATGATAATTTATGATAATGTGTAGTAAATGTAGTGATTATAATAATTTATGATAATGTGTAGTAAATGTAGTGATTATAATAATTTATGATAATGTGTAGTAAATGTAGTGATTATAATAATTTATGATAATGTGTAGTAAATGTAGTGATTATAATAATTTATGATAATGTGTAGTAAATGTAGTGATTATAATAATTTATGATAATGTGTAATAAATGCAGTGATTATGATAATTTATGATAATGTGTAGTAAATGTAGTGATTATAATAATTTATGATAATGTGTAGTAAATGTAGTGATTATAATAATTTATGATGTGTAGTATATGTAGTTTTATTAGTAATAACAATCTCAAGATTGAAAAAAATTGAAGGAAACTGAAGAAAACGATGTTAATTTTTTTTTACCGTTTCAACAAAAGCTGCCAACCCAATTTCATTAAAAGGATGGATTATGATAAGTACTGCTGAATAAACTGGGACAAGAAGAACACCTTTAAAAACAAGTTTCACAAAGAGTAAAAAATAAACAACACAATAATTAAATGTTTATTAATAAATATTGATAATAAATATTTTTAACAGAACTTGTTTTCTTATTATTTTGTTTTCATTAAAAAAAATGTTTGAGTACTTTATAAAATGTTACCTTGACCAGTCATCATAGTTGATAGATCAAGCTGGTTGTCAAACCTGTTCATAAAACTAACTATTAAGCAACCAATTAAGCTTCCAGTTATGACATCAGCAGGACTATGTACACCATTGTATATGCGACAAAACATTACATTAAATGACCCTGTAAACATTACCCATATAAAAGCTTTTAAAATGAAACCCATATTTTATATCTAAAATTTTTATTTCCCCCTAAAAAAGATTTACACATAACATTAAAAAGTAACAACATGGTCCTATGTGTAAAGGAAATGTAAAATGCAAACAACTTGTTAAAAAAACCTTTTTTAAAAAAACACCCAACTAAATAATACACCTTAAACTCGATATATTTAAAATTCATTTTAATAATTTTAAATCCTAAAGCATATCAATATCTAGCAACTTTTTTTTTATTTCATTGAGAAACTCTTGAATGAATAAATAAATGGGCTAAATAAACAATAAGGGTTGACATGGTTAAACAAAGTTTTAAAAAGTGAATAAAAACCTACATGCAGTGATGATCATAAAGAGACAAACAAGTGAGGCAAACTGTAAATGATAATGCATCCAACAATAAAACCATAAATACCTAAAAAAAGTAATAGAAAAATTAAAATACATACTGTATATTAAGCTGCTGTCATGTAAGAAATAGCACTTGGCTCAGTGTGCAATTTATGTATTGTGGATATATTAATTAATGGTCGCCTTTCAAATAAAATTTTTTTTCTTCTGGGAAATACAAAACAAGAGCTTTGACAGTGGAAATTTTTAGAAATTTAAAACTTAATTAAAAACTAATTAATTAAAACTAATTAATTAAAAACTAAACATTTTAGAAATGTGCTGAAAAAAGAAACACTAGCTAGCTAAACTTAAAGAAAGAAAATTAAAATATTAATAATAATAATAAACATTTCCTTACGAAAAAGAAAATATATAAGCACTAAAATAAAACTCAAAAAACACAAACTCAAAGTGAAAATTACTTTTTATCATCTTTTGAATTGTGTTTAAAGTAAATTACTTTAAAATTTATCTTTTGAAACGTTTTATTAAAGTTACGCAAAACGCTTCTACAAATTACTATTAACGATTGTTTAATGAATGAACAAATGAGATGCCTCACAGGAAAAGATACCAAGTCATAGTTTCTAGATGCGGAGATACAGGCGTTTTAAAAAAAATATGTTGAAAACATTCGAGCAGTTTTAGTTTATTCGAGCATTATTTAGTATCAGTTTTTGAAATTAATAATTAAAATATACATTAATATGTGAAAGTTACACAGTTTTAAAGTATGCCAAATTTTTAAAATCATTTTTTACTGTAATTTCATTTTTAAAACACTTCCTTGAAAAACTATGTAGAACTTTTAATAATGATGCTATCAAGCTAATTTTTGTTTTATTTTGTGGCTTATTTCAACTCTAACAACAGAATCAAAACTATCTTTCAAAATTTTTTTAGAAATAAATGGAAAAATAGTTTTCAACGTTTAAAGTTATCATAAAAAATATATGCCTACATAAAAAATAAATTTTATTTATTTTATTATTTCATTGATAACATTTTATATAGTATATATTTTTTATTATACTGTACTAAAGTCGACTTTTTATTTTCTTATAACCATTAACCTTTAGTAATGCACACATTTTTAGAAAGTATTGAAATAAGCGTATTTTATTATAAATATGTTTAAGTTTAAGCATATTTTTGAGCCTCTTTTAACTTTTTGCTTAAGCATACCCGAGCCTGTTTCGAAAATTTTATATGCTTATAAAAAAAAAAACATGTATTCTTAATGTAACAATTTTTTAAAATATAATTTTAATTGTTAAAACATTAAAACGGCCGTGGTCAAGTTGTAAAGAAAAAAACAACATAAGTGTGGTCAGTTACAGCATACGATTGCACGCTATTCCTGTCCAAACTTAATATATATATATATATATATATATATATATATATATATATATATATATATATATATATATATATATATATATATATATATATATATATATATATATATATATACACTTAATGCATCAGCCTAATGTGAATTTGACATCATAAAATTCTCTTTATTTTTTTTTGTTTTTTAAAAACATTAACCTTTTTAAATTACTGCAATAATATTAAATAAAACGTCCAACCCTGTAAAACGGGTGATAATAGGTCTGATTCACAACTACCACATATCCATTTTCAAGCTACAGAAAATTGTAGAAAACAATGATCTTAACCTCATTAGCGATTTTTAATAGACAATATTAGTACTTATAAAAATCATGTAATTTATGAGTTTCTTCTGATTTGGTTAAATAATGCAATAAAATAATGTTCAATAAATAAAAAGTAATTTATATATAAATAAAAAGTATAAATGATAAATAAAAAGTAAAATTAATAACTTAAGTCAACAAAAATAAACTGTGCTTGAAAAATATAAACTTTTAAAATGAAAAACCCAAAAAACTTCAGAACATTAAAAAGTATAACATTATCTGTAAAACATTTTTTGCCTATCATTCCTTGAATGGGATGTTTATCACTTTTAAAAAATTAACTTTTAAATAGTTGACAATGAAAGAAAAACGATTTTTTTTAAATATACACCAACTCCATCAAACGTTTGACCTGAGGGCTTTTCAAAACAAAAAATTTAGAATCTGATTTTGTGTCATTTTTTAAATAAATTTTTAAATAACATAATTACACAACCAATTTTAACTTTTTAAACATTGAAGTGGCACAACTGTAGAAACAAAGTTGTTCAAAAACTGAATAGGAGAGTTATTATAAAATCAAAATATGTAAAAATAAAAAAATAAAAAATTTAAACAACTAAAATAAAAATTTCAAATTAAATATATTACCTGATTTTTGCGATATCAAAATTTGACGTCACTTAACTAATATTATAACTAAGTGCATTTAATTAGACTTTTCATAAATAGCCAATTACACGTTAGCAGATTCTGTTTTAGCCAATTAAATTCATTATAACCATTGTAACTAAGAGCATTAAACAGTAACTAAGCCCATTAAACGTTAAATTAGAGTATTAATATTAAGATTACCACAAAACGAGTCAAATATTTAACTTGGTTCTTATTATTACTATTAGGGAATGTTTATTTTATTTCATATTTTTTAAATATTAAATAAATTTAATATTGCATTTTTAAAAATGTTTGATATAAACAAATTTATTTCTTTAAACATGTTAAATTATTTAAAATGATCATTTCTTAAATTTCTAATCGTGGTTTTGCAACTAAAAATGATTTTTTATTTTAAAAAAATCAGCGAGTAAAAAAAAAATTAGGTTATTTTATTTACTTTATTAATTAAATTTTTTTTTTTAGCAATTTTTTTGTGAAAGGAAAGATTATTTTCCAAACATCATTTGTTAAAATTATATTGTTGTATATATCATTTATTCAAAAATAATTGTTGCGCTATAACTTATTTTAAGTAATAGACAGTGATATTCTGCTGTATATTAGTCATAGATATTGACAATACGAAGCATATCCTATGCTCTAGTAACTATAATACTAGTACATTGTTAAATAATACTGTCATAATTATTTAATAATGTACATTGTTAAGTTATAGCAATTTGATATTTTGATTTGGGAGTGAACTTTTTTCAAAAGATATTGAAATAAATATTTGTTTCTTTGGTTTGGAAAAATTGTTCATCAAACTGACATACAGGAACAAGAGGTAGTAAAAACGTTATACCACAAATATATATATATATATATATATATATATATATATATATATATATATATATATATATATATATATATATATATATATATATATATATATATATATATATATATATATATATATATATATATTTAACAATTTAGAGGCTTAAATTGTTTTCAACTGATTAATGTTCTTATTATTTTCAAACTATTTATGACATTTTCATTGTGACCGATTTATTTTTTACCCAACTATAGAGATTTTCCACCAATTTTAAATAATGTAATTTTAAACAGTTTATAGATAATTTTTATTTCAACCTACTGGTTTGTATTTTTAACATTTTTTCCAAGCGCTTTTAAATTTATTTTTTTAAAAATACAATTAACAATAAAAAACAAATTTTTCTAGTGGGCATTGAACCTAATACCTCTCAATTCTGAAGCCAGTGCACTAACCACTGCCTCGTAGCTGATTAAATTAAAATTAACAAAAAATATATAGAATACATAGCGGAAAAAGTTTACTTTTAAAATCGATATAAAAAAAACAAAAAACAGCTAATTGGTTAAAAATGAAAAAAAAGCAGGTCAGAAATACAGAAAGTTGGAAATTCAGTTGATCAAAATCTCAGTAGGGTAAAATCAATTAGGTGTAAATTTGAAAAAAAAAAAGTTGTTAGTTGCAAAGTCATAATTTCTACGATTGTAGAAATTTTAAAAATAGATCCAGTGTTAAGGAACTTTTTTTTCTAATTGTTATTGTGAAATAAATAAACTCACCACGGGCATACAACTGCTAACACGGAATGATGACTTGGCAAACCCCTAAAAATAACAGTTTGTAAGTTAAGGCAACATAATAAATATTAATAATAATTAAATAGAATATAAATAATTTTTTGTTTGTTTTCGAGCTATTGGGTTGGGAATGACAAAACTTTGAAAATTGAGTAGGATCCTGATCTTTAGGTAACCTCAGCCATGGTTTAGTGGTAACCTCAGCCATGGTTTAGTAGCAACCTCAGCCAAGGTTTATTGGCAACTTCAGTCACGAGGTGTAATATAGTAAAAGAAAAAAAAAAAAAAATGCAAAGTGGCGCTCTTTTCTTCTTCTGAATATTAATGTATTAAAGCAAATTCCTTCCACATAATAAAAAAGATCAAATAATAAAAACTGATAACTAAATAATAGGTATAATAATAGAATTATTGAAAATAGTTGAAAATTTATAAAATAAAATTTAACTTATATATATATAAATAAACTTATAGAAAAATTGACTATTATACAAAATAATATAATTTAATTAATTAAATTAGATAATTTATTTTTTCAACACTTTAATAGTTTTAATAAAAGTTTTTCACAGAAGAGATATATTTTTTAAACATATTCACTTCCAACAAGGCTGCAAGCAACCACTATTATAGTTAGAGGTTACTGGAAGAAAAAATATGAAGTTTATAAATCAAGATAACGAAAACATTAAAGAGAAAGAATAGAAAAAGTAGAAATAAAATACTTTTCTGATAAACAATTTTTATTTTTCCATAATTATGTAGAGGAATTTTTTAGACCTTGTTTGTTAAATAGCATTTAAACAACTAGGTATAATTAGATATATTAACTAGTAGAGTAAAATAAGAAATTAGTTAAAAAACATAAAAAAGTATAAAATTAGCAATTAGATCCAAACTTTTAAAAAATTTACACCTTTTAAGTTTTATTCTTTATAACTTTTTTAAACAGCAAATTAAATTAATAAAAGAAATAATTTTCAACATTTGTTACCACTTTTTTACTAGACAGCAAACTAGACAGCAAGCAACCACTATTAGAATTGGAAGTTACTGGAAGAAAAAAGATGAAGTTTATAAAGCAAGATAAGGATTAACAGACAACATTAAAGATTATATGAATCAGGTAAACAAGAAGGAAGTTAACTGATGTTCAAGGAAAAAAAACTAGATAAAAAAGAATTTTTGGAGCACTTATGAACAGTCACACTAAAGGTTGAGACTTAATTGAATGACAAGTAACACAATAATGAATTTTAGTAAGCTCTTGAGATGCTAGCTCTTTAGACCAGTGCAAATTATAGTATTTATAGAAAAGAGAAAAAGACGCAACATTGAATTGATTTAATAATAATTGAAAGTTGGCTGCAAAAGCAAGTCCAACTATGTTTATAATGCATTTTTGCACAATGTCTAAAAGGGAAAGGGTATCATTTGAAGATCCACTCTAGATATGGCAGTAATATTCCATACAAGGATGGATTAGAGATTTATAAAGATAAAGAATAGAATCTGGAGTAAGAAAGTGGTGACCACGATAGAGAGATGTATATATATAGGGGCTATTTATATATATAAGGGCCTATTCTAGGAAAATAATTTGGGCGTTGGTACCCCTGTGTCAGTGCCTGCCGTAAGGAAGTTTGAAGGAAACATATGCCGTATGTAGACATTTTTTTGTAGAAAAAAAAAACATTGTTTGCCTAAGAAAAAAAAAAAAAAAAAAAAAAGGACTCTGATTTTGGGCAACGCCCAAATGTTACCCAAAAACATTAAATGCAGTCAAAAAAGGGTTTAGAATAGCCCTATATATATATATATATATATATATATATATATATATATATATATATATATATATATATATATATATATATATATATATATATATATATATATATATATATATATATATATATATATATATATATATATATATATATATATATATATATATATATATATATATATATATATCGGAATTAGGAAGAATAAAGACAGTAAAAAATTGCCAACCTCAAACACTGTCAGGTCACACACATATACATACCTAAAAGTATTTGAGGTTGGCAAATAAAATGCCGACCTTGTTTCTATGTTTTAAGGTAAGACCTTTGTATCAAATTTTTGTTGCCGACCTGCTGCCAACCTCTAAAAGATTGAAGTTGGCAAATTGCGATGGTTGTATATGTATGTGTGTATGTATATATGTATGTATGTATGTATGTATGTATGTATGTATGTATGTATGTATGTATGTATGTATGTATTTTATATATATATATATATAATTATTATTATAACTACTGTGTTTTTAATGTATTGTAAGAAAAATACTTACCATGTATAATAAGCATTTTCTAATGGTTTAACAGGTGGACTTGGGGGACGAGGTAAACATAATGAATTCTAAGAAAGAAATATTGATGCTACAATGTAGTATAAAAATTTTAACTTTATTTTTAAAATATTAACATATTTATTAATATTTAAAATATATAATATTATTAATATTTAAAATATTATAAATACTGTTTAAACTTGTTAGTAAAGAGCTATTAACATAAAGAGTTGGGATCAAGGAATATATTTTATTTCCTAAAAAATTTGTTGATTTTCAGAAATGTCTTAATTATTGCCTTATTTTTAAAATGATATTATTAGAAATGTCTGATTTAAGTTTATATATTTAAATTATATTTAAATTTATATATCTATTATAATTTTTGTGTGGCTTTTTTCATGTTTTATAATGATCAATTACAACTAACGTCCCTGGTAGTACCGCGCTCAACTCGTTTCTCCGCGCAGCAGCCTTGTTCATCAAGGTTCGTGTTTCGGAGTTATAGAGTTGAGAGAGGGTTATAGCCACAAATAAGTAGCCTCCTCGTCTGTAGTGGCCTTCTCGGCCTTGAGGAGGTGAATTAAAATAAAAAAAATAAATAAAAAAAACTTCATTAATCACTCATTATTTTGTTTGTGTATAATATAATTATTAAAGAATTATTTTTTTATATTTTTTTTCCCCTCATTTTTAACATCTTGTTGAAAGTTTTAATACAAATGAATGAAGTCAAGAATTAAGTATATAACTATTCTGATATAAATAAAACTATATCTTTTCTAAAAAAACTGCTTGCTCTCAAAGTTTATTAATTTACAATAATTTAGGTCACTTTTTAAATAATTAATATTTAGGCCATTAAATATGAATTCACCTCCTTAAAGGTAAGAAGAATACTACAGTCGAGGAGGCTACTATATTTTATACTTTTGAACACATAAATTTGCTTGTATTTGAATGGGTTATCTTCAATCAATAATGTAAATTAAGCTAAACTAAATAATAGTTAAATGACAATTTTTATTCTTGAATATGCAAAATTAAAAAACCAAAAAAATACAAATATATACTTTCACTGCATTGGCTATATAGAACCCCATTGCCATAGCAATACAAGATAAACGAGCCAGACGCATGTCAACAATCCTAAAACAATAAGATAATCACTGAAAAAATAAACAGAATAAACTGAAAAATTGATTGAACTGACAAACATAGATTATCCTGGCCATATTATAAAAATCCGCAAATTTTTTTCCCTTAAATATCCGGAAAATTTTTTTGTAATATCCGGAAAAAATCCAGAATTTACAAAGAGATGTTAACAAGGAGGGAGGGGGCATGGTCTCCTCCATTCTTTTATATTACTATAATATTACGCAAGTTTAAAAGTATCCTTATTCACCGTATATATGAATAAAAAACTACATAACTTTTTCATCAAAAAAGAATAATAATAATGATAAAATTTTAACAATAATAATAAGAAGATAAAGTCAAAGAAGAAGTAGAAAACTATATTTAAAAGCTGTTAAACAATGCGGAAACTTTTTTAGACATGCACTTATACATTTAAAAACACAATGGATAATGAAATACTGCTTTAATTCACCAAAGATATACAAATAGATAAACGTTTAACGCGTTGTAATTAATTTTTGGTTTACTCTGCGAGGGAAATCTTTTAATCTTTGTGGCTTTGTTTGTTAACTAAATATAGCGTTCTGTAATTTATGGACAACAAATTTACTGTTTATATATACTTGTTATTGTTTTATTTGATGACAGTAATAAACAGAAAAAATTTTATAAATTGTATTTTGGAAAAATATTTAATTATCCGGAAAATATAAAAAATTTAAAAAATATCTGGAATTCTGGAAATATCCAGAATTCCAGATATTTTTTTGAAGCAGGAGGATTTTTTTCGAAAATATCCGGAATTCCAGAAATATCCGGAAAAAGATAATTCCTGCTGATAAATTGATTGGATAAATGCAATTAAAATATAAAATGTTACCAAACAACTTGTTTGTAACACTAACCCCCTAATTATTATTTTACAAATCTTCATTAAAAAAGGAGTCTAAGAATTCTTTTGTTTTAATCTACAATAAGAAAGGAGTCTAAGGATTCTTTTACTTGAATCTACAATAATAAAGAAGTCTATAGATTCTTTTACTTAAATCTGCATTTAAAAAGGAGTCTAAGGATTCTTTTATATGAATCTACAATAAGAAAGGAGTCTAAAGATTCTTCATAAGAAAATTTTTAGTTATAATTTATCAAAATATTTTGTCAACCAAGTTTTTGTTTCGAAATTAAAGGAGGGGTAAACAAAAAATTATGTATACAATATGTTAGTACCGCATTTTCAATGAATTATCCATACCAAGTTTGATGTTTGATTGCTTAAGTTCTCTTCTTGAATCACAATAAGCAACTTTACGCACTTTTCAATAATTGTACATTTAATAAGGTAACTTTCTTTTACTTTCAATTTTTAATATCAAGTTCTTGATAATTTATTATTAAAACACCAACAAGTGCACTGTCAATAACTGCAAGTGCTTTTTTCAGGTTTGCTTGTATGCAAGTTTTTCCAATAATTGATGTTCTATTCAAAATGAACCCTTCGAACTTTGAACCATTGAACTTTGAACCCTTAAACTTTGAACCCTTACAAAATTAGTCAAAATGAAATGCCTAGAAAATTGTTTCTGTCTATTTTTAAAAGCTACTGTTTTTCACTACTAAGTGAAAAATTACTGTTTTTCACTTGTAGCAAGTTCGACTCTTTTTGATCCATGTTCATACAAACTTTTTCTGTAATAATTGGAGATGCAATCCTTAACATTAGAGGTTTGACATTTTTCAAATGCTTTTACTGTTAAGACTTTGCACACAACTTGGAAAACTTATCAAATTTGATATTTGGGGTGTTTTCCATAAGCTTAAAAATTTGCAAATTTTACACCAACAAAATGGTAAAACTAATGGTTAAAGCAGTTTGTTTTTAGTCTTTAGTCTATTTCTAAATTTAGTAAGTAGTTTTTTTGTGGTGCAATAAGTCTACTGCTTTGAATTTAGGGCAAAAAGTACTGAATCAAAAGTACATTTATTAAAACAATCATTGAGTTATATATGTTATTTATGAGAAAACTCTTCATTCAGCTATTCTATAATTTATTGGGAAAGATCCTTTTGATGATGTTATTAGATGACAAAATATTAAACAAAGAAGATTATAGAGAGTTGAAAATAAATAACTGAACTAAAAATTTTAAAAGGTTGTTGGTCATACTTGAACCAAATTTTTCAGCCTAATTTATTTCTTGTCATTTGACTTAAATATGATACTGAGCTTACATTTAAAGATTGAGTCATTTTACTAAAAATAAACTAGAATATCTATAAAAATTCTATAAGGCTGTTAAAAAAATTAATAAACTTTTTTTTAGCACGGATTTATTATTAAGAGTAATTACAAAAATTAAACTACTAAAAATAAATAAGTCAAGCTAAAGCACTTACCAGACTAGAAAACAAATATACAAAACATAAAACTCCTCGCAACCAAGCAAACTAACAAACTTCATTAACCGTGTCACATGTTTGTTACGAAGATGCTAAAATGATATACAAAAAATAATAAACTTTTATGTTCTAATTTATACACAGAACTGTGCTGGCATTACACGCCACAGAGAATCCCATATAGGGATTACTTTTTATACCTAGACATTTTTCATACCTAAACATTTTTTAGACATTTTTTATACTTTTTATTACTTACTATTATCTTTAGTCTGCTTTTAATTAAAGTTTATTTTCACAAATCACATTTATTACTTAAATTTAGAATTAATTTTATTATTTAATAATAGATTAAAATAAATGAACTCAGTCAAACAACAAGAACACAGTTGAATCATATTAGAGCAAACAAGTAAGAAAAAATCTGAAAAAAAGAAATAGAAAAGCTCTGTAGCCATGATAAACCAATTGCAAATCAAAACACACAAGTGTGGAACAATGGATATTAAAAAAATATATATATTTTTAGAATTTATATTATAATATACACTGAAAGTATTATATTATAATTCAGGGCTCAATTCAATCGTATCGCACACCTAACGATTATGCTTTTCACACCTATGCAATTAGTTTTTTCTTTTACAATAAAGTTTTCGCTATTCGTTTGTTTGTTTGTTTTTTTGTTTTTTCTTTTCTAATTTAGCATTTTTTTGGCTATTCCTAAAAGTATTGTATATGTCTAAGTTTTTTATTAGGGTTCGTAGAATACCTCATACTAAATTTATCTTTAGAATAGAAATTTATCTTTAGAATAGAAGTGAGCAGAGATTATATTCAACATAAAGCGCTTTTGAATTTAAATTCAAATCTTTACGTGGAAGCCAGTTTTATCTTTAAGGTATACTTATTTTGATTTATTGAATGGATAAAGTACATCACAGTAAATTTACCTTTAAACTAAATCAAAACAACCAGTTAAGTTACTACAGTAACTTATAGTTAATCAACTATTAAATTTAATTAATATACTAAAAGACTCTCAAAAATTAGCAACATAAATGTTTCTATTTATACATAAAAATAAAAGTTTCTAATTAAAAATTATTTTAACAAGAAATCTCAAATAGAATGTAAAAAATATGAAAAAAAAAAACAACATTTTTTTATATTTCATTTAAAGCAGTATCAAGATCAAACACTCTCTATAAATACGCAAGTTGTTTTCAGGAATTTTATTTAAAAAGAAATTTTTTGGAACAAAAGAACTTTAGTTTTCTAAAATTCTCTTATTTAAATAATTTTGCAATTGAAATTTGAAATAGAAAAAAAAACTGGAAAATTTTAAAAGAATTTTTACACTCAATAATTAAACTTAATTCAGTGGCATCTGTAACACCCAGTATAGCAAGAATCATTGCTGAAAGTTAAACTCATATACAGTACTTGAAAATAGTTTTAAAAAAAGAAACATTTTATTGCAAACATTAAACCAGTGATTACAAAAACTAAAATAAAATTATAAAAAGTTTAAAATAAAATTATTTTACTTCTGTTCAACGAAATTTTTTTTCTAAAAAAATAATTCAAGCATATTCTTAAATTTAAGGAAATATAAATCGATTTATTAAACCAAATTTTTTTTCTGTTTCACTTTTTATTCCAAAACAAATTGAATGAAAAATTGAATGAAAACATCAACTTAAAAACCATTTGAATGAAAAACTAAATTATACTTTAATTTTAAAGTGGTTTAAATATTATAATATTTGCGTTTTTACTCATATTTTTTTACTTTTACTTTTACAAGTACCCTGTTAAGTAAAAATAATTACTAAAAATCTTGATAGTATTAAGGCTACTTGCTCATTACTCTATAACTGCAACTTAAACTTTGAGTTATTTAACTTATGCTGTAAACTATAACAGCAACTTACGCAATTTTAATCTCCGCCAAACAAAAAAATTATAAGACAATTTTTAAATGAGAGATATGTTAAAAAATAATAATTACGAACAAATGTACAAAAGATAAAATTTTATATAAAAAAACATTTTTAGAATTTTATTAATAAGCTACAACACTATAAAATAATAATTGTTTCATATCTTGGATTGAGTAATATGAACAAAGAATAATAAAGTTCTAAAGTTTTTTTTTTGTTAATATTACAAAAGTTAATGATCTATGTTCATCTAGTCTAGTAGTGTCCTCTAAAGACAAACACTTGTAACATGTGAAAAGCAAGAGCTTATATGTTACTGATGTTTGTTTTGAGAAACTTTTCACATGTTAACGTGAGTGTCAATAGGTTTAATTTTATTACCTCTCATAAGAACAAGACAGAGCTATTTGCAAAGAACCTTTCCTTTAATTTATCTATTGAATTCAATAACCACACTCTTCTAAAGAAAATAATTTGATCCACTGTTAGGCATACAAATCACTTCTGAATTGCTAAAGTTAATATTCACTTTTTTGCAGCTTGTGATCCTGACAAAACTTCAGTAACTTTTAGGGTCACTATCCCAAAATTCCATCTTAGGTCTCATCTCTTTTTTTTATCTGATAATAGTACGTTTAAAGTGAAAAGATGATCAGGAATATCTCTAATTACACATGACAAAACTATATACTTCAGTTTTGACAAAAAAAAAAACTCATGTTTTTACAATTCATACAGTTTACAGTTTTTCAAGCAATTTCTGACTTTTTGAAGTGCTTTCTTGCCCTTAAACTCTTTTTGAAGTGCTTTCTTGCTCTTAAATTTCTTTAATTCTTTACTAGCAACTTTTAAAATAGTGGTTGCAGTCCTGTTGGAAGTAAACTTGTTTAAAAAAACAAATACATAAACTTAAAATGAATATTTATTTTAAACCTATGTTTTACTTTCAGTTTTAAAAAACACTTCAAAAATGTGCAGCAGTTAAAATAATTAGTTAATAAGCAGTTAAATTAACTGATAACTAGAGTCATTATATAAATTAATTAACTTATAGGATTGTTTGTATATAGATTTAATTTTCATTGAATAAAACATTTTCTTATGAATTCTGATTTTTTTATGATATACAAAATTACTCAAATAGTTATACTAGCACTAAGACATGCTTTTGTGCTATTTAGACTTTAGTCTCAAATAGCAATCAAATAAAATATTGACTACTAAAATTTTTCGTTTGATGATTCAAACGTACTTAAATGATTGTTTGCAAAAAAAAAAAAAATTTTAACTAAGCATTAACAGCAAATCAACACAGAAGACAATAATTTAATAACTATGTAAATACATGGTTTAATAAATATACCAATTTACTTACTTGTATAGCAAGCAAAACTGGTGTTCCATAAAGAATGCTTTGCAACAACTTATGACGAACCCATCGACCAGGAGGACCAAGAGCATCTATACAAACAAAAAACTGATCATATTTTGGGGAGCCCCTTATTATATACCATTGGATCGCTAATTAACACACAGCAATTATAATAATTTGATAACAATAATAAAAATAAAATAAAAATAATAATATCAATATCTGGCAGACTGATTTATGATATAGGGGTTCCACAGGGTAATATACTTGGACCCCTTTTTTTATTATTTACATGAACAATATTGCACCAAAAAATAAGTATTCTTTTGTAAATTTGTTTGCTGGTGATACATTGGTTTGTATTAAGGGTAAAAACTTTGAAAAAACTTTTTTTCAATTAAATCAAGACTTAGAAATACTCTGTAAATGACTAAGAAATAACAAACTTAACTTAAATATTTACAAGTCCATAGTCATGCTTATCGTAAATTCAAAAAAAAAAAAAGATAGTTTAACAAATCATAACAATAACACAAAAGTAATATTGGTGATTGCATGAAATATTTTAGGATTTTAATTGATTACAAACTTAATTTTACTGAACATATCAAACATATCTCAAATAAAATTGCAAAGAAAACTGGATATCTTGGTAGAATATTTAACTCAATGGACCAAAAAGATAATCATTTAAACTATAATAGTTTCCCAATATAAATACTGTGCTACTATTTTTCTTGATGTAAACAATAACTTAAATACTTTAGAAAAACTTAAAAACAAAGCAATGAGAACTATATTAAAATGTGACTGGTCAACTCACAAAACAGAAATGTTGAAATTGTTTGGTTGGATCAGTGTAAAAAATAGAAAATTTTTTAAATCACTATGTTTCATTAAATGTTACATCAACTGAAAATGATATTTTAAAACCATTCTATTTAAAAAGTTGTGAGTTACATCAACTTAACACTAGACAATCTAGTTATTTTCATAAAAGTAATCAATATAATAGAGCAGGACAGTAGTCCATTTGTTAGTGTTTTGTTTAACTCTATACCATGGAATAGCTTGTGGATTTGTTTAACTGAACTCTGAAAAATTCAAAAAAAAAACTAATCCAAACATTAACAAATAATCAACTAATTAAAGAGTGAACATTTATTTTGTAAAAGTTACTAAACTAGCTATAGTTGCTAAATAAATAAATAAAAATAACAATAATAATAATAACAACAACAACAACAACAACATCAATATATTAATATAACAACAATAACAATAATAACAAAAATAATAATAACAATAAGAATAATAAATTTTTCTAAATGGTATACGCGATATATGTTTTGTTGATATTATGTTTTATTAGAGCATTAGATTTATGGAATTATTTTTAAGTCAGAATAAATAGTTGAATAGATAAAAATAAATTAAATAAAACTATATTATACCAATAGGGGCTTGAACATATCCAATATCTTCATCATCGGAATTATTTCCTAATTCTCCTTTCATGATTTGCTCTGGATGAATAAGTTCTTTTTCTGTTTCTTCGTCATAATTAGCCCACTCCTGAGTGTCCTGAACCTCCATTCCTCTTTTTATGTCGATATTATATAGTGAAGGACATGAAAGTACCCTATTAAAAAATGTAATGCATTCGGTAAAAATATTTTCAAATGTGTACATGAAAACATTTATTGAGCCCAGTTCTCCTTTTTTATATCAAATCAAAACAATTAAGTCAAATTTTAAGAATAATAATATTTTAAAAACTGATATTTATAAGTAATTTCAAATGACATTAAAACCTTAAATTTTTTTGAACGCAATAAAAAACATATTAAAAAATATGTATAATAAATATTCAAAATAGTATTTAAAAAAGGGGCATATATTTGTTAAGATGTCGACTTTTCCCTGTTATAACGGGGAAAAAGCGATTTGTTAAAAATTGTCAATTTTAAATTGATGTAAACTATGCAAACAAATCTAACGCGTTTATCAATTTTTTTATACAGTAAGCAAAAAAAAAAACGCACACGCGCGCGCGCGCGTGTGTGTGTGTGTGTGTGTGTGTGTGTGTGTGTGTGTGTGTGTGTGTGTGTGTGTGTGTGTGTGTGTGTGTGTGTGTGTGTGTGTGTGTGTGGTGTAGTGTCAATGTAAAATGACTTTATGGGTGAAGATCAGACAAAAGGTATAAAAATTTATAAACATCTCTCTTTGATGATTTAGTCGGATATTTTTATCAACGATGTACTATTCTGAGTAAAAGAAGAATGAATCTAAAATAATATGTTACAATGATTATTAATAAATAAAAAAATTTAAATAATTTAATTTCCTACGAAAGTAATGTATTTTGCATTTTTATTTTTTATAATAATGTAAAATAAAACAGGGTCGAATGAAACAGAGAAATCGTTATGACAAATGTTTATTATTTTGCTTTTAATTATTGAATTAACATTTTGAAAATATTTATCAGAGAATCTTCGTCTGAATATGATACTGGCCTAGCAAAAATATCTTCTGATGTTCAGGTAAACAAAAAAAAAACAAAAAAAATTTAAGTAGATTTGAGTTGATATCAAATGAGAATGTTATCAAAAAGTTACAGTGACTTCAAAAAATAAAAAAAATAAAAACTTTTGGTGATATATTTTTATATTATTTTTGAACTATTTTAAACGAAATTTAAATTCATCGACAGGTTTTTAATTTTATCTAATAATATTTTAGCTAAAGTTATAAGCATGAAAATTTTTCATTCTTTCATTTTTGGAGGTAGAAACTTTTGAAATTTAAGAAACTTTTAACTAAAACATTTTTTTATACCTTAGGGTACAATGGCAACGAACTAGGTTTTTTTTTAACAAAAATTCTACTTATTCTCTATTTATTACCCTAGTTGATAGTTTGTTAACCAAGATAAAAGTAAATTGATAATAGTAAACCAAATAAAACATATTTGGTATCGTTAGAAATATTATGCTTTTTTTTAAGAAATACAAAATTTAATTCATAATAAACCTATAAGAAAAAATTGCTGCTAGTATAAAGAAAAAATTTTGAAGGCAAAATGATTTAGAGGCCGTCTCCAGTCGCTTTTGCCTCCCAGCTGGCTGCGGCCGCCAAATTGGAAGCAGAAATATTTGCCTCCTGCCGGCGGATGTAATGAAAAAAAATTTGACATTTGTTTTTAAGTTACGAGCAATTTAAATATTAATCATCAAATTTTCGTATTCTTTGATTTAATGCAGGAGTTTTGATTTTTTGAAAAAAAAATTCGATTTTTGTTTTTAAACTATTGAAAAATTAATAGTTTAATATTGAAAACAAAAGTTATTATTTAGAAAATTGAAGAAAAAATCATTTCGACCGAAAAGTTAAATGTAATTAAATTGTCAGAATTTGATCAAAGTTTTTCTGATCAAGTCGACATCCTAAATATTTAATTCATTTTATTTAGTTAAAAGTTTTTAAAGTGTAACACTTTTAAAACCAGAACTGTAGCAATGGTTTTACGAGAAGTGCGGTCGCATAGGGCGGAAATTTTTGCATAATTTGGAAACTATATTTATATCTAAACACATAAAATATAAATTATATGAATAGTTACATTAGTTTGGATTTTTATGTATAACAAAATTACTAAAATGTATTCACTAATTACAAATCATTTATATTATATTATTTCAATACTTATATATAAATAATTATTGTATACATATAATTTTACATCAAGTTTGTAAATATTTAACTTATCAAAGAATAAAAAGAAAAATAATCGATCAACAAATCGTATCAACAAAGAAAATCTTTGTTAATAAAGTATCAACAAAGAAAATCTTTTTTATTTATAAAGTAAATGAGATACCAAAAAATCCCCCAAAAAAACTTTTTTTGGTGCCTCAGGTTTTCTAATAATATCAGAAGACCTTACATAAATATGAACTGCAGTGACTCATTTGATTATTTGGTATATAATAATATTGATATTGTAAAATGCTATATGTAAAGAGCAAGAAAAAAAGTTAAGTTTGTTTTGTATCAATAGTTGTATCCTAAAAATGTACTTATAACCTTTAAGTTTTTGAAACTTTAATAATTTTAATTCTAAAATTGCATTCCACATATTTTTAAAATAGAATTAAATGATTTTGTGGTAATTTTTGCAAAATGTTGTCTCTTGTAAGGATATTAGAGTTTGATTAGGTCAGTTTCACCAGTCTTCTTTTCCTCTTTTTTACTTAAATTTGAAAAATAAATAGGTTTATTTAGCTGAAATTGTTTATATTATAAACTTAAAAAGCAAAAACCTTTTTCTCTAGTTCATATATTTAACCAAATAACCACACTCTTTCTTCAATAATATAAGTCAGCTCAAACTGAGGGGCAATTTTTTGCAAAGCATACTTATTTGATATAAATTTTTTGCAATGCTGAATCCGCCCCTGATCTATACAGATTTTGATCCTATCATTCTATTGCTGACTTGTTAACTGAAATAAAAAAATATAGGTAACCTAACTTGTGTTAACCAATTTCTTCTACTGTTTTCTACAATTTTTTTCTCTATAAATATTATATTTGTCCTGGTATTGAAAACTATTGTGATTTTTTAATTAATTTTCTGCTAACTCCTAACGTAATTAATGTTTGCTTGCAGCCTTGTTGGAGGTTTGTTTGTTGTTTATTTTTTTGATTTTTTTTTATAATAAAAATTTCAACAAGAAAAAAGAATAATAAAAACTTTGTGTTCGGCATATATGCTTTGCTGATAAACAAATATATTACAGACGAAGTTTACACGAACAGTTAGCGAATAAAAGAAACTTTGAATTTCGATCGGTCTCCAGCCGATCTTGCAAACGAAGTCATGATGTATCATGAAATTAGTTTCAAGCAAGTTAGAAACGACACTTTAAAAAAATTTTTAAGGTAAGTTTTTGTTTTTTTGTTGTTTAATTCTTAGATCTTTTAGTAATCATGGTAAAGTATTAGGCATTTGTTGAACATTAGGATGATCACCATAATTAATACTAACAATAGGAATTGTTATCTTTAACCATAGGTGGTTTTAATTTTTTTTTTTGGAGATTCACTATTATAAATAAGGAACCCTCCATTATAAATACAAAATGTAACGTTAAATGTAATATATATTTGCATATATTCCATTTGATAAGCAGCTGTTACGTCGTAGTTAAAGCTTTGGACTAAATAGAAGGTAATAGGAGCATGTTCATTTAAAGTGTTTTTTAATATATAAAAGGTAACACGAGCATGTTCATTTAAAGTTTTTTCAATAAATAGAAGGTAACACGAGCATGTTCGTTTAAATCCAGTGCTTTCTATTAAATTAGCAAGTTTTAAAAATAAAATACAATCGTTAAGTTTATTATTTTTGTAACACCTTTTAATTTATTTTTGTAAGCTAATACATTAAAGTATATAGTTAATTTGCTTTGTTTAAAAGGTTTTGCCTTTTCAAATACTCTGCCGCTATCGGTTGCAAAGTTTTTTTTTCCAATTCCACCTTCAAATTAACGCCTTTTAAGTTTTTCAAGTTTGACTTTTTCAAGCGCGATCTTGAAATTTTCAAGTTTTGTTTACACATTTGCACAAGCTTTTTTTGAAGTCTTATTTGACAAAGTCAGATTTCAAAGTTCAAGTCGAACTTCACTCAAGTTTGTTTTTTGCATTCCACGCTAGTTTTCGACTGTAGTTTTGTTGGCAAGGCCGAACCCGGGATGCCAGAGGGCACATGCCCACGCACTTTTTTTCTAAAGGAACTTTTTTTTTTTAAGAAAAATTTTGATATAGAAGACTTTTTTCACAAATTGATGATTTTGACCCCCCTCCTCCACTTCAAAACCCGTGTCGTCAGCCTTGGTTAGAATGCCAAAGTGTAAATCCGGTTGCAACAAAGATTTCTGCAAAAAATAGAAATCTTTTATAAAAAACCAACAACAGTAAAAAGTATAATGCTCATTATTTATTTCAGTTTAAAAAAACAAACCCTTTTAACTCCTCGTTTCTATTGGGGCAACTGAATAATTTTTTCAGTGCCAAATCGCACTTATGCCAATGTTTACAAATTTTTTTGGTGCACTTATGCCAATTCACATAAAAAATTTAGCAAATTATAAAATAAATGCTTTATTCAACTGAAAGCAGAGTTTTTCAAATCTAGTGAAGCTTTTAGAGGCACATATATAATGGTCACTATATTTCAAAGTACCGTAAACCGGGGTTACTTTGAATAGCGGGGTAACTTTGAATACAAATCTTTTTTTTTTCCAAGTTATAATTATGGCAAGAATTTATATGAAATTGTTTAAATCTCAAACATTAAAGTTTGAAAAATAGTTTATATTTTGATTATTTAAAGTTTTACTTTGTTTATTGGTTGTTATTGTTCCCCAAAAAATGAATTAAATAATTCGGATATTTTTCTCAAAAAAGTTAGTCAGAATACTTCGTACACTGCCTCAGCTAGTGTAGCAGCTTGTTGTCCAAGTTGCATAATTTTTATATATAATTTTTACATAATATTTAAAGGTCTTGTATAAAAAATTTTTGTGTGTACATTTAATATTGTGTTGAATTATAATTGTTGAAAACACTGTTTTATCTTTAAATTTGTTTTTTGTTTAGCGTTCCATAGAAGTACTATCTCACTTTTATATGAAAAAAATTTATACAAGGCAGTATATAAATTATACTGAATTATAATTTTGTGGTAACAATAAAATTCCATGTGTTTTCAGATTAAGTTTTTAAAATTTTAAAAACTTAATCTGAAAACACATGGAAAGTCCAAAGTTTTTACAAATATGCAACATGTTATGTTATGTCAATCGTGTTTAGTGTTTCTGATCAAGTTGCCTGTGGTTATATTTATAAAGCTGAGCATTTATGCACAACAAGAACCGAAGTCGACCACCTAATGTATATACAATCAAAAATACAATCAAAGCCAGGACGGTTTGATTCTATTCACTTTTTTGACTGGTTTGTTATCGTTTTTTGTCAAATTGTAGGAACATTCCTATTAGTTAAATCAAAGTAATTTTTACAGTGAAAAACTTGAATTTACTAAAGAAAGTATCTTGTTGAAAAAGAAACAGTATCTTGTTCTATTACTGGTAATTCTACCCATTTATTGCACTCTTTTAATGTTGCATTTTATTGATCTCTTAAAAGATATTGTAAGAAAATACTTGACAAAAATAAATCTTCTTTGTTCTTTATTTACTTATATTCATTATATTTGTTAAATCAAAAGTTAATCAACAACTTAGTTGCTTAGTGGTTTTGAGAAAAATATAGGAGTTACCCATTAGATATAAGTATTTTCTTCAATCGTTGGCCAGATAGTTATAACTTTAGTTCGCCGAGCAGTAATTAATGTACTTTAACAATTTTTTTCATGTTGATGTAAAGGAAAAAGCAGTCTTAAAGCGGAAAAAAAATTATTTTTAATCTTGTTAAAAATATTTCTTTTGAGGATTTATGGCAAAATGTAAAGATGTTCCATTTGCAAAGTCTAGAAGTGAAACTGATGTAAATGAGACTTTTTTTATGCTAGTTCACTTAAAAAATATCCATTTAAACAAAATAAAATACTAAATGGGTGTTTGTTATGAAAAAATGTTATATTATTTTAGTAATAATAAATTACTGTGAAACTAGAATGTTGTTTTTATTAAATTTTAAAACAAGGCGTTTTTGAATAGGTTTCCTTTTACAAAAAACGCATTCAAAGTTACTCCATTTGCGGGGTAACTTTGAATGACTATTTAAATTAATATTATACAAAATACTTTTATTTAAAAATTATTTTGGATTTGAATTACGTAATAGTCAATCTTAACCCCTATATTCACTTTGTTTTATTTCAAATATTGCCGATAGTAAAGGAAGAGCAAGTAAAATTATCTCAAAAACGTTCAAAGTACCGGTTTATTTCCATTCTAGATAAATAAAATTGATCATTAAAATTTATAAACTGTTAATATCTTAGAAATACCATCATCTCAAACTGAATCTTCTTTATCTCAACCACTAGAATTTTTGTCAGTACCACCATCAACAACATCAATAATTACAGCGTCTTATTCACCCACAACATTGATAGCCATAATGTGAGCTCACCTACAATCAACTTTCTATATTGTATATAGAACTATATTCTTCTTACGAGCCAAGGCAAGAGCTATATGAAGAACAGAATTTAAAAAGAAATACAGACCTCAACCATAAACCTATCGACATTGTATCTATGCCGATTATAGTCACAATCTTGCTATTGCCATTTATAAAGTTTATCTCTTGTCAAAAAATTGGCTATTAAAAGTAGCAAACAATAAGTGTTTTACTCATAGAATAGCACCTACTTCATTTTGTAAAAATATAAACTACAAATATCAATTTGGAGATTATAATTTAACCTGGTCTACGAACCCAAAAGATCTTGGTATGACTATGGTTTCTTGCTTAAATTACAATAATCATATTTCAAATATCAGCCGCGCATTAAAAATCGAGAATATATAATCCTTAAGTGTTTTAAAAGTTGCGATCCGCGTGTTATCGTAATAGCCTACACTACCTACATAAGACCAATCTTAGAATATTGTTCTTCGGTTTGGTCGCCTAACCCCACTGAAATGAACTAAGTAGTGGAAAGAGTGCAAAGACGTTTAACCAAGAGAATTGCTAACCTAAATAGCTTTTCTTATTTTATTAGACTTAGAATTCTTGGTTTGGAACTACTAGAACTTTGTCGCCTTAAGCAAGACATGATTACGTGTTACAAAATTCTGAACAATTTAGTTTAACTAAATAAGTCAGGTTTCTTTTTAATAAGGACGTTGTCAGAGTCCTTCATATTTTATAGACCTGCATGTCCTTTAGAATTTGTATCACTATTCATAAAATTTTAATCTAATCAAATCTAATCTATGTAGCTAGATTTATGTACTAAATGTTTTATCGCTACGGCTAGCCGCTAACTGTATTAGACTAGCGTTCCTCGTGACATGTCGCTGTCATTTTTTTTTAAACTTGTTTGAACGATACTTTTAAAGAAGAAAAATCTTTAAAAATCAAACTTACGTTTCATTCAAAAACTAATTAAACTATTAATACTAATGAAACGATAAATTTCAACCACAAATAAAATCGGGACATAATTATGTCCCGATTTTAAAGCTACACTTAAGTAACTTAAATAAAATTATATAAAATTGAAATAAAAAGCAGCGTAATTAAAATAAAAAGTAGCGTAATCTAGCGTAATCTTACTTTTTGCGGTAGTATTTATTTCGCACACATTTTTGAAGAAAATCAGAAGACAAATGAGTTGAAGAAATGGCTGATGTTATAGCAGTAGCTAATGTTGGGTCTGTTTCTCCTGATGAAGAAGAGAGCTACTTATATGGCGAAACTTCTGGTAGCAATTAATTCTAGCTATAAATTTTCAAAATTTGACTTTTGAAATTATTTTTACTTTTTTTGTTCTTTTAAATTATTCACTTTTATTTACCCTTCAAGTAAGGGTAAATATAAGTAAATCATTTAAAAAAACAAAGTAAAAATGATTTAAAAAATCAAATAACACTAAGAATTAGTGTTATTCCCCTCCTGTCTCAGATTGTTTCTTGCATAACGCTCTTTAAACTAAAGAATTAAAAGTATCTTTTTAAAAAGATTTTGGCTTGATTTCAAATTATTATCAATTTTAATACCCAGGTATTTGACAGATTCACTGAATTTAACTCTTTCATTTTCCAAAATGATATATATGTTAGGATATTTTACAGTGATACTCGAGTATTTTACTTTAGAGCTTGTAATCAGCATACCTATTGACTTACTTGCATTCAGTTTCAGTCCATTTCCACTAAACCAGGTAGCAACTACTTTCAAGTCTGAATTTAATTTCTTCATAGATTCTTTGTAGTTATTACCTTCAATCCAAACTAATGTGTCATCTGCAAAGAGGTTGACGTTTACATATCCTGTACAACTGTTAATATCATTCATGTATATTATGAATAACAGGGGTCCTAGCAATGATCCTTGAGGTACACCTACGTCACAGGGTAGCTCCGATGATAACTGATCGCCAATTCTTACTCTTTAAGTTCTTTCTGTAAATTATTTTCAATCCATTGTAGTACAACGCCTCCCACTTTATAACACTTTAATTTTTCAAACAATACTTCCCTATTGATAGTTTCAAATGCTCTCTTTAAATCTAACATAACTGTGATGACGAACTTGTCATCATCAAATGCTGCCCTCCATTTTAAAATGACTAATTGAACTGCTGTTTCAGTGGAGTGATTTTTTCAAAAAACCAAATTGATTTTCATTAAAAAGCTTATTTTCTTCAAAATAAGTAGATAACTGTATATGCGCACATCGTTTAAGTATTTTTTCATACATTGCTAACATATTTAGTGGTCTCATATCTTGTGGTAACTTGGGAGATATCACTTTCGGTATGGGAATTATAGTAGATCTTTCCCAAGTTTTAGGTACAAAACTTGTTCTTAATGACAAATTAATTATTTTCAGCAAATTTAAACTAATGACTGGGTAGACTTTTTTAAAAAAAATGGTACATTCTTCACACCTACTTTTTTTGTCTTTTAAATTAATTACTATTTTGTCTAGTTGGTTTTTAGAAATTTGGCTGAATTCATTCATTCCATTCACATGATGAGGTATTTTTTTGTGATCAGTAGCCACATATTTATTCAACTTTGTTATTAATTTTTCAATATCGATAATACTCTGAATGAGAAATTCATTGTATTTATCAGCAATTATCAGATTTATTACTTGAATCCTCAAACATGACATCTTCCAAATATCAAATTGACAAAAAACAACCAAAGTCTTTACTATTTAGCTCAAAATTTATATATAAATTTTTTTCTTAGTATTTTTTATCTCTTTTTAAAAGTTAGTAATTCAAGATTCTACAAAAAATATTACTGTGTTTAAGAAAAGGTTAATATGTTTTTAAATTAACTTATTTTAAATTGACATTTAACTGTCATTACTAATCTTTTTTACTCTATTAAAAACTCACTAGTTTTTCAGTGCAGATTTAAAAAAAAAGATAATTTCTTGATTGGAAATAGTAAAAAAAATATATAATAGATAATTTGATGAGTATAATCTCCTTTTACATATTAGCATTATGAAAGTTATATTTTAGTATAATAAATCTAGCTATAGGCACTGTCAGGGTAAGGATCAGGGTACCTGACTATCTAGAGATAAGTACAGTGGAATATAAAGATCGACTGACTATCTAGGGATAGGCACAATACATAAGTGATTGCACAGTACAAATATCAACTAGAAGTTTTAGTTTAAGCAAGCAATTAATTAATTTAAAGAGACTATATATTTTAAAATATTTTTACTTTTTCCAGTCTTTTTTTCAAAATCTTAAAGACCAAAAAATGCTAGATCTGCCCCTAATATATGTGTGTATATATATGTATATATATATATATATATATATATATATATATATATATATATATATATATATATATACACATATATATATATATATATATATATATATATATATATATATACACATATATATATATATACATATATATATATATATATATATATATATATATATATATATATATATATATATATATATATATATATATATATATATGTATATATATATATATATATATATATATATATATATATATATATATATATATATATATATATATATATATATATATATATATATATATATATATTGCTTGAGTTTGGCAAAAAATTGCTGACCTCGTTTCTATGTTTTATGGTCAGACCTTTGTATCAAATAATTTTTGCAAGAAAAATTGAAAATGTATTGAAAAAACTTGACAAAGGTAGCCGAAAACCCAGAACTCAAAATTTTACTCAATTGTTTAACATAGCTGATGAATGGTTGTATCAGGAAGATAAAAATTTTATGGTTTGCAAATGTTAACAAATGGAAGAGTTGGATATTTACCACAATTGAAGATCCTGAAGGTATTCATCCATGAAAATCAGTGTTGATAAAGAAACAAGCACCCATCAGCTAAGGCCAAGATTTGGATGAATCAGCTAGTGAAGGAGGTCATCTAGAAACTGAAGAGCAGTGTTCCAGCATTGATACTGAAGCTGAAGATGTCGAAAGTTTGTCATCATAAAAAAAAAAAAAAAAAAAAATTTGGCTGTAAATTTAGTGGTTTCTGCAAAGATTAATACTGAAAAAGCACATAAAGTGTGCAAAATTCAATGAAAAGGTGAATTTCTATTCCTACTCCAATTCAAAGTGGTGTCTTTAGAATACTGGAAATCCTTTGACGAGTAAATTGGACACACTGGCAAGATGACATGGACTTTCTTCATAACTTAGTAGCTTGTTATAGAATGTTTAAAAGCACAGGTACTATTCCAAAAGTGAATTTCAAATCACTTCCTGCTATAAGCAATGCAAGATGGAACTTGAGAGCAATTTTTGTTCTACTTGCTTACATTCTAATACCAAACTATTAAGAATCCAAATCTCCTCAAGCAGCATGTGACTTTATCTGTGGCTCATGGGGTAATATATGGTTTGGTGATCACTACTTCAATCTTGCAGATTTTGTTAATCTACTAGAAGTATGCAATTAGCATCCAAAAGCATTAAAATTGTTGAAGACATTTTGGCCCACAGAGTCAATACTGATTCCAACACAATAGTCAAATATATGTGCAGAATGTGGGGTAAAAGTGATGCAAGATTTAGTACCTTTATGTTATAGCATAAAATATATATATATATATATATATATATATTTATTTAATATATATATATTTAATATATATATATTTAATATATATATATATATATATATATATATATATATATATATATATATATATATATATATATATATATATATGTATATATATATATATATGAGAAGTGAAATTTTATAAAAATTTCAAAAATAATAGTCATTTTAGATAAAGATTACTAGTTTAAATTTTATGGCCTAAAAACTATCATTTTTTAACAAAAAATAAAAAGTACATTTTACACAATTTAAAAAAGTACGACTTTTTTAATTTGTGTTTCTATAAATTGTTTTTTTTATTTTTGAAATTTTTATAAAATTTTACTTCCCTTTGAGATCCAACATGATATACTTTTGAAGAACTTTTTTTTTCAAAATATTAGGAACCCGTTTGATGTTTAAGGGTCTTGAGCAACCCCTAAGATTTTTTTTTATTTAAATTTTTTTTTAATTTAGTGTTAATTTATTACATAGAACACATTTATAAAGCAGTATGTATGTATGTATATATATAAATAAATATATGTACATATACATTTATATTTATGTATATATACGCGTATAAATATACACATAAATACATATAAACATTTTCATTTATATTTAGAAGGAAGACAACCTGCACCAACAGCTAGGTAAAAATAAAATGTTAAATAGCATCGATATATGCAATTCTTGTTATATATTATAAAAAATAATTGTTTTTTAGCCTCATTTGCTAAATTTAATTATAATGTTAGATTTTTTTTAGAGAGGATGAAGTATCTTCTAGGCTTGAGTTTATTTCCAATGGCCATATCGCAGAAGAAGATAACATTGTAGAAAATAACTCAGACAACAATGCAGAGGTACATAATTTGTAATTCAATGTCAATTTAAATCAGTTAAATGTTCAATAAGCTTTGAAATATAAAATTTTTTAAATTGATTAATGAAAGGATCAAAATGATGAAGATGGAGAATTTGAGGAATCTGATGACGATGAAGATGACAATATTCAAGTTCATATTGGTGAAGTAAATACTAGTGGAACTAATCCTGGGTTAAACTATAAGTTTTGTATTTGTATATAATTAACATATGACCATAGTCTACATATATATTTAAAATGATTTGTATATGTGATGTTTTGAGTATAATACTGCAGTATTTAAGTTGATTGGATTTTATTATTTGGTTCATTCCATGCCAAAAGGAACTTAAATATTATAATATTTAAAATTTTAAAAGATTTCTTATGGACTAATTCAGGTTTTGCTAAAACTTTTTGGTTTTTTACTTATATGAAAAAAGAGCATGCTGAAAATTTCAGATCAATATTTACAACAGTTCATAAAAAAACTGATTAAATATTGGTTTATTTTGCATAAAGTTTCCTCTTCAAGCCAAAAGTTTTTGTTCATAATTTTTAACAGCTAATTACTTTTGATAAGCTAGTTTTATACTTTTATACAATTTTTTTAAGATAGTATGCTATAAAGAATTTTAGAAAATAAAAAAGTTCAATTATGACTTGTGATTTTTTTCCATAATGGTTGGCTAAGTTTGATTTTTTTTTGTTATCGAATTTTTTTGTGATTTTAAAGTTGCTACAAATCAAGTCAGATGTTGATTTTTATAAAAAATTGTTAATTAATATTTTACATCTTTTACATGTCAAAAAACAATGGTTTCGATGCATGTATGCAAAAATTATGAACCTTTAATGACATAAATAATTGACATAAATAAAAAATTAACACAGCTAAAATTGGTTAAAGATGCAATTTAATATGATATGTGATAACTAATTACTAAAAAGTTTTTAAAAGCATTATTTAATCAAAGTAAATGAATTTTTATTTTTTTAAATAATAAATATTTCAAATTTAGTGTCTATGGTACACCCGTCAATTGGAAAAAAGATGCCACGGGTAATCTGAAATCTGCTGTTTTGCCAACACAAGGTCAAAAAAAAATTGATGTTAATGCTGTTGGCTTAATAAATGGTCAGCCAATATATGAATATGATATGGATAATGATCAAGATGACAAACCTTGGAGAAAACCAGGTTGGTGAATTTTAGTTTCTTTGAAAGAATTCATTGAAACGGTAAAGTAAAGTTCATATTTAGACAAATACATGAACTTATGTTGCTTTTAACATTTTTTTGCTGAATAGTTTGCATTGATTAAATTCTTATTAATAGAACGTTTAAAAGTTTATAAATCGCTATGACAAATCTTTGGAATTATTTTTTATTCAAAAAGGTTTTGGTTGCACAATTTAGATATTTTAAGCTTTTTTATTCCTAAAGGGTTATGTTTGTAAAGTTGATATTCAAAGTATCATCTATATAATTTAGCATGCATATTTGTAATTATATGTTGGTTTTATGGCAAAATTGCCACAAACCATATAGATTAACCAATTCAGTATGTTGGATTGTGGTAATATCTGCAGTCCAACATAGTTATTTTATGCTCAACACAAAAAGTAACTTTTAAAAAACATATATATATTTTTTTTTCAATATTTGTTCATTTTATTTCAATTAGTGTGAAATATAAAAATCAAAGGTAGACACTCAAAATTAATCGTAGAAAATGGTGACCAACTAACCCAAAACCTGTTAGTTAATTTTTACTTAAAAAATTAATTTTTACCTACATAAAAGTTTACTGAACTTTTTAATTAAAAATACTCTGCTTTAAAATTAATTAGTTTGTATTAATTGATTTAAAATAATTAAAAATTAATAAAAGTTAGTTATTCAAAATTAACTAATTTGTATTAAATAATTATTGTTTTAATTTCATAATGATAAACTGGAATATAACTTTTCCTTTTTAAATGAAAATTAAGTAACTAAGGTTCAAATCCAACTTAACTTTGCTGAAATGTTTTAAACCTTTTTAAAAAGTTAACAGTTTAAAATATCTCTTGTGCGCAAAATTTAAGATAAATGTTTAAGTAACATCAAAATATTTTTCAGAAAATTATTTATTTAATATTTAAAATATTCAATTTAAAAAGATTTTACCACCTAATGTATTATCTTTAGCTTTGATTAAAATTGTTAGAAATTTTCTAAATTTATAAGTTTATTTCTTAAGTGATTGTAGTTGATTTTTTTTTTTTTTTTTTATTAGCAACAAGGTTAAGTTGGAGAATCGTTAAGCTTTTAGCATGCAATCATATAAATTTTACTCAACATTGAAGTTTGAAATCAGTTTTTATATTGAAGGTCTAAATTTTCCATGAAATGCTTTTTCTCTAAAACAAATAGATATCTCTATATTTTATTGCCAAAATTAATAGTTTTAGTAGTAGTATTAAAGCTCATTTGAGCGTGTTTGACACGGAACCCTTGGCAGCCATTGCAACCAAGGTAGTGGCGAGAAAGAGTCACAACTTTGTTTTATAAGAAAACGTGAACAAGCGTGTATGCAAATATCTTACGTATGTAAACTATAAATCATTTAATGTTAAAACATACTGAAACATTTATTAAGTTTTACAGTTTGATTCAGCGCTATGGAGTCGGAGTTGCGGAGTTGCAACATTTTTAGCGGAGTCGGAGTCACTAAACAAAATTGCGACTCCGACTCCAATAGTAAAACTTCTTGGTATTGCACGTGCATGTACTTAACATTTAATCAACCTTATGTTCAGACTAAACCTCAAAGAATATGTTTTGAAGAATTTAAAAAATTTTTCATAAAATTTACTTTAGAGTTGTAGTCGGAGTTAAAGTCGGAGTCGGAGTTGTACTCAAAAAATTTTAACAACTGGAGTCTTAGTCGGAGTCGTTACTTTTTTTTTACGACTCCACACCCCTGGTTTGATTTTCACTTGAAAATTGCATTGCGTCAAGCTCTCCTTATTTTCAATCTATAACATTTATTTCCGTTAAAAAAATCATTATATAGTTTTAAAAATTTTGGATTTCCAAGATTTTTAAAACTATATAATGATTTTTTTCATTATATAGTTTTAAAAATTTCGAGTTGGAATCCTACCACTAGCGACTTTTTTTTTTTTTAAATTTTTTCGATTATTTTAAATTAGAAAACACTTTTAAAGTTTTATAGAGATTATATACAAACATATGTAAAGATATTATACACTTTAACAAACTAAAAGATTTTAAAAAAGCTAAAATTACTAAAAACATCAAAAGACCGACAGAAAGAACTTGTTGCATATGTGTCATGATTGAGATACTCATGTTATTTATGTGCTCAGGTAATTAGTCCTATTAAACCCTTAACCGTTAATGACGCATATATAAAACTTTCTAAAAACGGCGTTGACGTATATATACACAAATATTTGTTTGAAGAATTGTTACACTTACAATACTAAAAGATAAAATCTAAAACCAGTCATTTATTCTAGGACAATCTTCTAATTTTACGCTCATTATGGCAATTTTTCTATAAGTGTAACTGATTTAATTTGAATTTTAGTAATCACTGTCTTAAAATACTTGTACATACCTGTTATAGTCTTGCAGAAGTGTTCTCCGGAGTTGTCGTCTATCCTTTCAAAACTATTTAACAAGTGCTTATCAGAGTCTTGTTTTCCAGCCTGCTGGAAAGCAGCATCTGTTATCCCTATTTTTTTAAATTCTGGAGAGCGATCCGATTTGTCTAACTACCGTCCCATTAGTCTTCTTCCTATCATAAGCAAGGATTTTGAATCTTTAATTAAGAAACACTTAATCTCTCATCTCAAATCTCATAACCTACTTTCTGATCATCAATATGGATTTCGATCTTCTCGTTCTATGGCTGATTTGCTAACAGCAATAACCAATAGGTTTTATCACGCATTAGATAAAGGTGGAGAGGTTAAGGCCATCGCTCTTGACATTTCTAAAGCGTTTGATAAAGTTTGGCATGCTGGTCTTCTCCATAAGCTTTCTTCTTACAGTGTATCTGGAAACATCTTTAAGATTATTGAATCCTTCCTTTCCAATCGTTGTATAAAAGTTGTCCTTGATGGACAGCACTCTTCTTCTTATTCTGTAACCTCAGGGGTTCCTCAAGGTTCAATCCTTGGCCCTATACTCTTTTTAATTTATATTAACGATCTTCCAGATATTCTAACATCTAAGGTGGCATTGTTCGCTGATGATACTACCATTTATTCTTGTCACGATTAGAAGCCAACTCTCTCTGATTGCTTGCAGGGGGCATCTAAGCTTGAAAAGGATCTCACTTCCGCTACAGCATGGGGCTCACAGTGGCTGGTAAACTTTAATTCAGATAAAACTCAATTTTTTTCAGCCAATTGTTATCGCAATAATTTAGACCTTCCTATATTTATGAGCGGTAATGTACTCGATGAGTCTCCTACCCTTCATCTTCTAGGATTAACTCTTACTTCTGATCTTTCTTGGAAACCTTATATCAAATCCATTGCAAAATTAGCATCTGCTAAAGTTGCTTCTCTTTATCGAGCTCGTCACTTTCTTACTCTGGATTCTGTTCTCTATCTCTATAAATCTCAAATCCGGCCTTGTATGGAATACTGTTGCCATATCTGGGGTGGATCTTCTAATGATGCCCTTTCTCTTTTAGACAAGGTGCAAAAACGCATTGTAAACATAGTTGGACCTGCTCTTGCAGCCAACCTTCAATCTCTGTCACATCGTCGTAATGTTGCTTCTCTTTCTCTTTTCTACAAATACTATAATGGGCACTGCTCTAAAGAGCTAGCTTTCTTTTGTGCCATCTACTAAAATTCATCCTCGTGTTACTCGTCATTCAGTTAAGTCTCATCCTTTTTCTGTCACTGTTCCTAAATGCTCTAAAAACTCTTATTCGTCTAGTTTTTTTCCTCAAACATCAGTTCTTTGGAATTCGCTTCCTTCATCTTGCTTTCCTGTTTCATATAATTTGTAATCTTTTAAGTTGTCTGTCAATCGTTATCTTGCTCTACAATCTTCATCTTTTCTGTTCCAGTTACTTCCAACACTAATTAGTGGTTGCTTGCAGCCTTGTTGGTAGCAAAGATGTAAAAAAAATAAATGTAAAGTTGTAAAAAAAAAGCTAGTAATGTGAAATTGAACTCAACAGAAGATATTGTTAATTTTATGCTTGAAAGTGATGATGAAATTTCAGATTTTAGTGATAGTGACTTTCATGATTTGATAGATGGGACAGATATCTCCACTGAAGATGAAAGTGATGATGTTATAAACGAGTCAATTGCTGAAATCAATCAAAGTGTTGTTAAACAGCCTGTTTCTTTTCATGTTTTGACTTGTAAAAGACAACGAATTACTAAAAAAAAACAGAAGGTATTGATAATTTATGTTGGACAAAGGTTAAACCTGTACCGGGTATGTGTAGACAAATTTTTTATGGTGAGCCAGGTGTCTATGAGTCTGTATCACCAGATTACCCCTTGGGTTTTTTTGAACTGTTTTTTACTAATGAACTTGTAGATATGATAGTAAAAATAACAAATAAATATGCAGATCAAAACAATACAAGTAAAGTGCACTCTAAAACATCCCGTCTTTCTAAATGGGAAGACACAACATCTAATGACATTCGAATGTACCTAGCTGTACTAATATATCGTGGCTTATTACACAAACCTAGACATAACTGGTATTATTCTAAAAATTTACTAATTGCAACCCCTGGATTTAGACCTTTAATGTCTCAAAATAAACTCTTACTCATTGAAAAGTATCTCAACTTTGTTGATAATCAGGATTTAGGGGAGGATTATAATAAATCTGCAAAAATTCAACCAGTACTAGTTAGTCTCATTAAATGCTTCAAGCTGCTTCTAAACCTTGGCCGTGATATTTCGATTGATGTATAATCATTATCCAAGTGTGATACCAGCCATAGCTCGCAAAGCTAATGCTACAAGAAGATGTGTAGTTTGTTATAACAAACTAAACAAAATACGAAAAGAATCATGTTACTTTTGTGCAAAATGTGATGTTGGACTATGTGTTGCACCTTGCTTTGAAAAATATCATACCGTATTGAAGCATTCATTTTTATTTTGTAGTAAGGTCCATTTAGTTTATTATGTATTTATATATATTTTTATGTAATTTACAAAAATTTCTGACTATTTTTGTTTACTTCATCTAATACTTGCAATTTTTGAAAATTAACCTGACGCTGGAGGAATTGCGCTTTAAAATTAGGTTACGGTTAAGGGGTTAATGGTCTGGTCTGAAAAAATGGATGGTCTGAAAAAAAAGTTGTCTGAAACTTAATAAAGAAAAAATTTTCTAAGACAGTCCTGCAGAAATAAATGTTATAGATAAAAAAAAATAAGCCCAGCGCTAGAAAAAAATTTAAAACAATCTTTTGACAATTAAAAGTTTTTTATGCTAAATTAATTTTTTTATTATAAATATAAATGCTGCATAGTTTTTCGAAATACCTTAATATGCTTATTATGTATTTTGAGTAAAATGCTATTAAAAATGTTTTTTTTTGAAACAAATAATTTTAATGAATTTTTTCACAACTCCTTGAAAATATGTATTCAATAACATTTTTAGACATCTAAACTAGCTTATTTTGTATAAAAAGTCGAAATTGTTTTTTTTTACTTTTAGGGCGTTTTAAAAAATAGCTGCAGTATGGATGACGCAACAAATATGTTGAAATGAGATTTGACGAAAAATTTAAAAGCTCTTAACAAAAGCCATTAAAGCAAAAAAACTAAAAGTAATTGCAGTTCAGTGCGCTTAAAAGTTTTAAGTATAGTGTATTGGTGTTTGCAAAGAAACATTATCTAAATCATTTTTTAATTTTAATATAAACTTTTTTTTAAAAACTTTGTTGCGCTTAGCCATCCTCTATAAACAATATATATAAACAAATATGTTATTTGTTTATATATATTGTTTATAAAATGTATAATATCCACTTATATAACGTTTTATTCAGGATCGCATATAATATAAAAAAACTTTTCTAGTTTATATTTTATAGTTATAATTACAAGTATGAGACAATATAAACATATTGTCGCATCCAAGTGGAAAATTTAAACTTTAATTTTAGATTTGCCTCTCTTGATAATTTCTGATTGCTAAAAAAATATTATCTGCTTCTTATACCATTAAAAATAATAGATGCAAATAATAGATAAAAAATGTTATCTGCTTCTTAGACCATTAAAAATAATAGATGCTTTTTTGTAAATCGTTGAAGCCACAATTTTTTTGCATATGTGACGTCACTTTGTGGCAAAAAAAAGAGTGGAAAATTTAAACTTTAATTTTAGATATGCCTCTCTTGATAATTTCTGATTGCTAAAAAAATGTTATCTGCTTCTTAGACCATTAAAAATAATAGATGCAAATAATAGATAAAAAATGTTATCTGCTTCTTAGACCATTAAAAATAATAGATGCTTTTTTGTAAATCGTTGAAGCCACAATTTTTTTGCATATCACTTTGTGGCAAAAAAAAAAATAGAAAAACAAGCTAGAAATAAGATTTTATTTAAATTTTTTAGAAAAACTTCTTCTATTAAAGTTATATGGAATATATTTTTATGGGATATATTCTAATAAAGACAAAAACTATTTATTTATTACTATTGTAATAAATAAATAGTTTTTAAAATTCCATGAAATGATACATCTGTACCAGATTTATATCTTTTTGTGTAATTGTATGCAACATAATTAAAAAAAAAAAAAAAGTAAGATAAATGCAAAAGGAAACTTGACGCATAAAAGTTTATTTTGCCACAAACTGACGTCAAAGCGCAAAATTTATTTGGATTAGCGTTTAATAGCTGAGGCTATTATTCTTTAGTTTTTAATCATAATCTCAAGAATGAACTTTTTTTTATGACTATGTTTTACAGGTCTAAGATCTTAGGTCTAAGTTCCATTTGTATAGCCTTATGTACAAACGTCTGTAAGTGTAAAAAACTTTGGCATATGTTGAGTTTGCAGGCATTATATGGAATAATCGCATATAATATATCTACAAAATAAGAAATCTTCAAAATTTTATTTAAAATTTTAGATATCTTTTTTGCTATGTTATCATTTTTTTGTTATAAATATATAAAAAATGTAAGCAAAATTGAAAGCGCACTTAACCACTAAGCTATCAATGAATGCATTTAGCAGAAAAACAAACTTAATTATAAGTCTCTTATAAGCCCTACATATGCATAGGTGCGCACATTAAGTTTTTAGCTTTTAAAGTTTTTTTTAGAATAAATTATTTTACTAAAAAATGTTAAAGTAAATAAGGAATAGGTATATAAATAATCGGTGTGGAATAGATAGTATAGAGATGCTAGATTTGGTAAAGACCTGTATTTTACAGATGAGGAAAACTAGGATATATAAGGAAAAAGTATAGAAAAGTTCATTTTGAAATAGACTTACAAAGACCCGTATTTTTATGGGTCCGATCTCAGCTAGTATATTATAATATATTAAGGAAAGTCAAAGGTTTTATCACAGTCGGGCTTAGTAGTCAAATATAATAAGTTATTTATTTCAGTAATTTATATTTTTAAAATTCTAAAAAAAAAGTATTAATTAAAGCATTTTTACTTTTCAGGTGCTGATATTTCAGATTATTTTAATTATGGTTTCACTGAAGACACATGGAAGCAATATTGTGAAAAACAAAGGCGCATGAGGCTTGAAACAAATCGTGGATCTTATGTATGTGAATTTTTGTTTATCATATATATATATATATATATATATATATATATATATATATATATATATATATATATATATATCAGGCTTGGTCGGGAAGTGGGTGCGATCTCACTTGATAACTGACCATGGAATTAATATTTAGTTGCGAAAAACCGACCAGATTTTTTATTTATTTTGAGAACATTTAAGTTTATATATGTTTCCTTGTTTGTCCGCAAAATAATTATTAAGGTTGTTATTTTATCGTAAATTTTAAAATATTCTGTTTTACGGACATACATAGAAACATACATAAACTCGTGCAGAAAAATAAAAAAAGAATATTTGTGAACACTAAAAACCTGCCAAATCTACAAATAACTAATTCTATTGGTTCAAAAAATACTAATCAAATGTTTTTGAGTATTCTGTTAAAATAGTTAAAAAAATTGTATTATTTGAGTTTTGTTATGTTTTCGTTGAGTTTTGTTAAGATCAGCATAAGTTGTTTTAAGAATATACTATCAAACAAACAATTATTCAGGGATTATCTTTTTCCGGATATTTCTGAAATTCCGGATAATTTTCTCAACTTTAAGTTTTTCCGGATATCCAAAACGTTTTCTATACATACAAGTTTAGGTGTATATTTTTGTAATATTCTTCTTTAAGCTTTTTTCACTCATCACTCAAAACTAAGAAAAGTTTAAAAGAAAAATTATAAAACAATTCAGTTAAAAGCAAAGTTAAGAGGGAAATATATTTCGGATTATTCCGGATATTTTACCCAAACAATTTTTCTAGATTTTTAAAATATGGTCTGGATGATCTATGATTATTTTAATTCTCGGAGCCACATCTACGAAGCTATAAATGTTTTAAACTAACATTTGTTTACAAAAATAAATGTTTTAAATTTATATTTTTTAACTTGTCAACGTTTTGTAAATATATTATAGATTTTATTAGTATATTCTTATTTTTTATATATAAGGGATGTATTTTTTATGTATGTAATGTATTTTTATGCATGTAAAGTATTTTTATGTATGTATTTTTTTATATATAAGGGATGTATTTTTTATGTATGTAATGTATTTTTATGCATGTAAAGTATTTTTATGTATGTATTTTTTATGTATGTAGTTTTATGTATGCGTATTTTATTCAAACGTAATCTTTTAAAGCAATATGTGCGATTGATTTTGTAAAAAAATATTTTTCAATGAAATTATTAATAATCATCAAAGTTAATACAAATAGTTTTAGCCACTAGTCTATTTTCCTCAGTGTACCCAATAGCCGATTCTTTCCCCCAAGAAAGAAAAGTTTTTAAGCTTTTAGAAATTGGTTTACTAACTTCAATTATTTTTGTTTCAGCCATTCTTACAAACTCGTTATACTTAAACTTAAAAGTTACTATTTTCTGTTTTAAATACTATTTAAAATTATAAAACCCGTTCACTAAACATCATCAGTGGTATTGTAAAGCAGTTCCGCTTCCTTGTCACAATGTAATTTAATGTTTTTAGTTAAATTCTATCTAGCTAATTGAATTTCTACAGTAACTCAATGATTTAATTATTTCATTTGTTCATCTTACTAAGAAGAATTCTTTCAAATGTGTTAAACTTTTCAAACTATGTGAAGCATAAAATAGTTATTGAAAAACTTTTTCATTTATAAATAAATCATCTAGCAATAGTTTTATTGGTTAAATCTTGTTGGACTTTTCAGGGCCGGGGGCCGCATTTTTTGGTGGGCTTTTATGTGCCACAGCGTAAAAATGCCTTGAAAAAAATACCGAATGGTCCTCTTGACTATTTCGCGGCCCCTAACATTGTGAGTCCCAGGGCTATAGTCCTTCAAATCCCCACCTCCTCAATCAGCATTGGAATTAAGTCATAAGTATATAAATAAAAATTATATATACTCTTTGATAAATCGAATAACATTTGTTTCCTTATTATACAATCATTAATAGTAAGTTGTTACTTTATATAAAAAAACTATAAAAAAGCGACATTTCAAAAATATTTGCTCTAATCGTATTTATTTTGTTTAAAGTTTTTTTGCGATATTTTTCTTTTTCTAACTGTCTCTCATCGGTCCAGTTAATCTTATTGCGCTCTTTTGTTTGTTTTTGAAATGTTCTCAAAACAACTGAAAAATCTGGCCGGTTTTTCGCAACTAAATATTATTTTTGTAGTCAATTATCGAGTGCGATTGCACCCGCTTCCCCACTTTGATTTTGAAAAAACTTTAGCGTCATGCACACTACCAGGCCACATACATTCAAAAAACTGCCTTTGTAGTCACAAGCTTAAACCTGTAATGCATTGTATTGTTTGTAACAAAAGTAATCTTTAGAACGGTTAGTTAGACAAACAATGGGAGTGTGAGCTCCATCAATACAACCTAAGCTTGAATCATTCCAAACCTTGACTCAAAATCAGATATTTTTTCTCTCATTTGCTGTTTATTTTTTGGTAAATAAACAAACCTTGGTCTTAAATTTTTAACTATAGCATTAATAACTTCAAAAATGACTACTGAAGTAGTACAAACTGGAATTCCAAACGTATTTGTTGTCATGTTCAATGTACCACTGTTTTTTAAGTAGTACAGCGTTATAGTAATTTTTTTATCTGGTGTGATTGCTCTTATATTTGGTGAGTAAGAGTCAGATATATAAGTTTCAAAAAGAGAGACAAGTTCAAAAAAGGAAGTTTTATCTAATTGAAATTTTTTTTTTAAGATTCTTCAGGTGTAATGTTTAATATGGGATTTGCCACCACAAATACGTGCGTCTAAAATAGAACCAGCTTCTTTTTTTTTCTTTTTTTTTCAGCTTATCTCAATTTTCTTAATATACGACGACTAGATCTTAATAAATCTTATAAATCAAGAATTATTAACTGATTAAAATCCCTTTTCTTTTTAATATCATGGTAAATTGTAAAAAATGAATTTTAATATTGATAGCTTGTAAATTGATCATTTTTTGAGTTGTAAAGGTAAGAATTTGTTTATGTAATAGTAAGGAATCCATTTTTCAGCTTTTAAATTTTTTAACTGGGCACATGATGTAAATAAATATTTCATCCAGGCACATGATGTAAATAAATATTTCAACAGCCCCTAAATACAATTAACGACGATACAAATATACAAAGTTTTTAAACAATACATAAAAAAAAACACATTAAAATAGTATAAACAATTTTCATTACAAAATTTTAATTAGTTTTGTATTTTTTTTAGATAGTTACAACAACTCCATCAATTACACCTGCTCAAGTTGAGATTGAAGTTCTACCTGATGGTAAACTTTAGACTTTTTTTAAGAGAGGAAAAGTTGTTTGAAAAAATATGTTTTTCAAAATTTTTTTAATAAGTATTTACCAGAATCATATTTTAGATAATAAAGATATTAACAAAAAATAATTTTTTAATCATTCGCTAAAGGCAGAACTCGTGTAAAAGCTGGCCCACCACCTGATAGGAAAGTAGAAGGATCAATTCATGTCATTGGATCAGATGGTATTTTTTCATCCAAGTTTAATTCTTTAAATTTCTTTTAATACTTAATTTTAAATTTTAAATTTCATGATAATAGTTTTTCAAATGGTTTTTAACATTTTTTAACAGCTGATGCACGTCGCAAGCAAAAAGAGGATGAGCTGTTGGCATTAGCTTTAGGATCTACTCGTGTGATAGCTCCATCAGGCTTTCCAGGTCAAAGACCAATTTACACTGGTAATTTCTCTAGTTTTCTTTTTTAAATAGTCTTTATTTACTTTTTTAATTTAAGTGTTTTTATATAGGTATTATTTATTTGTATTTTGGGTTACCTAAAGCAAAAAAGTTTATAAAATGATCAATTATATATATATATATATATATATATATATATATATATATATATATATATATATATATATATATATATATATATATATAATTATTCCCCAAGCCACTAGAGTCGAGGAAGCTACTTTTGTGGTTACAACCCTCTCTTAACTCTATAACTCCGATATGCTAACCTTGACAAACAAGGCAACTGCGTGGAGAAACAAGTTGGGTGTGGTACTACCAGGGGTGTGGTGGGGATTAAACTCCAAATTTCTCGCTTATGAGGCGAGCGTTCTACCACTACACCACTACCACATATTATTAGTATATCATTAATATTTTTCTTTTTATATATTATTTTTATTTTTCATTCATTAAAGTCATTTTCACTTGATTTTTATAGCGTTACCAGGAGGTACAATGATGTTTAACCCTGAAACATCACAACCACAACAAATTCAATCTATTGGTATGTTTTTTGTTTTTGTTGATGATGATGTTTGGTTAGTGATGTTTTTTTATTATATTGTTTAATTTTTATTTTAAGCTTAATTTGATTAAAAATTATTATAAATTATAGTTGTATATATTGCATATGTATTGGTTATGTTATAGTTGTATATATTGCATATGTATTGGTTATGTTATAGCTGTATATATTGCATATATTGGATATGTTGCATTTGCAGATGCCAAATTATTAGATCAAAATATATTATTGCTTAATAAATTTTGAAATATTTACTTATTGTATATTACTTATTATTGCAGGTGGAGGTGCAAGTGGACTACCTCCTGGTCTGCAGTTCCTACCACATGTATCTCAATCTGGTTAGTTAAATTTGAAAAATTAGTCCAAAGATTAATATGTTATTTTTATTTAATGTATATTTGTTTTATTTTTATGCAATTTTTTTTTTGGTGATCTTATTATATAAATTATTTGTTTACTTTAATAATTTCATGTATTTTTTTTATTATTATTATTATTAAATTAATTTAAATAAATTAGGAATGCAGGGTATGAGTGGTGGCCCTCAAATGTATCCTCCATCCATGAGTCTTGGAGGTAAGTTTGTTTTTTATTTTTTATGTATTTACTGACTGGTATATATTTATTATATTATATACATCTAAATAAAGAGTGGTAAGTAATATTTACCCATTTTAAACATTTGAAGATAATGAGGAAATAACGATAATTTTTCTCAAGGAAAAATTATCCCTATTTCCTTTTTTAACTCATTTTTTTAAAGTTGATGATTTTGTAAAACCTGATGTATGAGTAAGTAAGAACTCTGTGTTTAAATTTTTAGTAAACTTTTTTATTTTTTTAAAGAAGTGTTTAAATATATTCTTTTTAATAAACTTTATTTTTTTAAAAAAGTGTTTGGGTGCTTATTTATGTTTGTAGATATTTTAGAACATGTTGGTCTAAAAGCATGTTGAGATTAGCAAATTGTGAACTTTAATTTAAATAATTTTGCTTAAAAAAACAATTATTTTTTCTATAACAGCAGTGCAGGATTTACAATTTTGGCAACTTTAGGCTGAATGAAATTTCAAGGCTCTTCTCAAAAAAAAAAAAAAAAAAAAAAAAAATTAAATGCAGTGTAAAAACTTTATTAAAAATTTTTCAATTTAAAAACAGCTTTTTTCTTATTTTTTTTCATAACAAATGTATTAATTCATCCAAATGAATTTCTTTCATTTTATCAACATTACTATACAAAAGCTATTCTAGACCATTTTCGACAGTGCCAATCGTATTTGGATACCGCTCTAATTCAGAAATTGAAGATCTTTTTTTTTTATTTAATTTTTTAACGGTAAATATTGTTAATTTTTTTTTTGCAAAAAAATGCCTAATTACAACAAATTTCCTTACGGCAGGCGCCGGCATGAGGGGTACTGTTGCCCAAATTATTTTCTTAGATTAACTCCTGCTAAATAATATTGCTAAAAAAATTCAAAAAAACTTGAGACATAGTAACTTGATTAATCAACTTTAACTTTGTTTTAATCAACTTTAACTTTGAAAAGGTGACTTTTATTGTGGAATTTTTAATATTTAAAATTCCACAATAAAAGTGAATAATATATTATCAATTTAATTTTAAGTGTAATAATTTTATATTTATCAAATAATCCAATCTAATCAAAAACATAAGCATTTAAATCAGTGCTCTTTTTTAATTTTTTTTTTTTGCAAAAATCGTGCCTTTTGAAAAGCATTGCAATATTTTTTTTTTTTTTATAACAATGACATTGTGTTTTTATTTTTAATTAGAACAATAATTGTACTTTTGAGAGAAAAAATTATAATTTTGCAAGAGCTGTAAATTGATCCCGTAAACCGTTTCAGGAGGGTGTGGGCAAGAGCAACACAGTTAAAAATATTTTCGTTTACATACAAGGTTGAACGACTATTAAATTTTGTAACATATATGGCAGTGAAATAACTTCAACATATCTTAGGGTTTTAATTTTTAAAAATTATATTGTCAAATGGTGACTTTGACAATGGATAAACATTTAAATTGTTTTTGAAAGTTTTCCATCGCTCTCATTTGCAGATATTGCCTCTACCCTTTGGGTCCACAGCAAAATAGTTTCTTTTTCAGGAACTCTTTTAATAACATGAACTGAATTGCCCTTCGTGTTACAGTTGCAGATTTGTTATTTTTAAAAAACATCGATGCTCAACAAATGGTGACAGCTGCAATTGTTGTTATGTACTAATAGAATGAAGTGCTTTACCTGTTTTGTAAGACCTAAATGGATTTTTCTCTCTTGCAATGGTAAAAAGGCGTTTGTTTTCTAGAGAGTTATTTTTACGAAAAATATGAAAGAAATGGTCAGAATGGTTTCAAGAAATAGAAAACTATAAGAGTGAGTAAGTAGAGTGAGACTTGAAACTGAGAATAAGTAAAAGGTTTTCATTCTCATCTAGGAGATGCTGGTGATGATGGTAGGTAGAGGAGGTAAAGGTAGGTAGAGAAAACTATGAGGTAGAGTGAGGCTTGACTTCAAACCGATAAGAACTAATAAAAACTTTTATGCCTGTTTTAAGCTAAGAGTTTAAGTAAGATATGCAATTATTAACGGAGAGATGAAATTCATCATAACCCAAGAACTACCACAAAGAAATTTATGAAAAGAATCTGATTCAGCTCCAAACCTGTAGTAGGAAGTGTGATTTTATCTGGAGTAGAAGATAAATGTTTTATTGAGATCATTTCATATAATGCTGCAATATTGTTGACTGCAGTTTAATATTCACTAATTGATATTACTGAATATGCTTGGTACTAGTATAATTTAAATGATTTTAGATAATTTAATTTTTGACATTTGGAAGTAACTATTTCTTACTTAAGTTATGTAAATATTCTTATTTACAATTTTTGTTTGTATTTTTAAAAATTTTAGTTTTTATTTTATATTACAAGAAATATTTTTTTGGGGGTTTATTGTACAGATCCATTTCTTCATCCTGGTAATATGGTTCCTCCTGGTAGTTATAATTTTGCAGCTCCAAACCACTATGAAAGTGACAGTGAATATGATAGCGATAATGAAAGTAGACGTCATAGAAGCAGTCGTCGGGAAAGTTCACGTCATAGGTATTTAGTTTTAGTTTATTTTGTTTAGTTATTTATTTTATGAATAAGGCATTAATGTTTCTTAGCTGTGGACATGCCTAATAGAAGGATAGTTCTGATATAACCCCCCAATTAAGTTGTTAGTAAATGTAGAAAGAGCTTGTAAACCTTGGAATTTTAATGGTTACAATAAAAGTACTCATTCATGATCTGCAAAATAAGGTAATGCCAAAATGGTTATTCTGTTGTTTCAATTCCTCATAAATGTCACTATTAATTAATAAAATAGAATTATGAAAAGCATACAAGTGTGAAACCATGGATGTTAATTTAAAAATATATATATTGCTTTTATTTTATTTTAAAAATTATTTCTAAGAATTTTTTAATAAAATGTTTTTTTTTTTTTTTTATTCCAACAACTTCGATCAAAATCAAAGTTTTCTTATAATTTGTTTACTTTCGTTTTTCTTTCTTATAATTTGTTTACTTTCGTTTTTCTTTCTTATAATTTGTTTACTTTCGTTTTTCTTTCTTATAATTTGTTTACTTTCGTTTTTCTTTCTTATAATTTGTTTACTTTCGTTTTTCTTTCTTATAATTTGTTTACTTTCGTTTTTCTTTCTTATAATTTGTTTACTTTCGTTTTTCTTTCTTATAATTTGTTTACTTTCGTTTTTCTTTCTTATAATTTGTTTACTTTCTTTCGTTTTTCTTTTTCGTTTCGACCAGGAAGCACATTGTATTATTAATTCACTTTTTGAAACTTTTTCTAAACTTCTAAAAACTATAGAAATAAAAAAAATGGAAAAAAAATTTATATTACATTTTGATCTTTTTCTTGTTTTAATGTTGTTTAAAAAACGTGATTTTGTAAACAGCTTTAAAGCATAAAAACTTATTTAATATTTATATATATAATATAATATTTAAAATAAAGTTTTTTTTATCAGCTACTAGAATCTTTGATCTTTTCATTGAACTTTCTTGATCTGAAACATTTTTATTTAAAAAATATTTTGTAACAGTTGTTAATAATTTGATAAATATTTGCCGTTATGTCATGTTAAAATTTTTAATTTTTATTAATTTTAGGAGACATAGAGATAGAAGCGACAGAGATCGTAGTGATCGTAGTGATCGCGACCGTGATCGTGATCGCGACAGATCAAAAACTCGAAGTGATCGCGTAAGAGTTTTTCTAAAGTAGTAATGTCTTTTTTTAGGAAGATTTTTTTTTTAGTAGTGTGCAGCTGAAAAGTTAAAAACCTCTTGACCGTTAAACTCCTGTAATCGATCGTAAAGTTTTAATTATAATAAAACTTTAACGAGGAGTTCAATATTCTTGAGGTTTTTTTTGTCAGTTATACCAGCTTAATTATAATGGCATATCTAAAATGAATATAAAATATAAAGTATAATGGCATATCTAAAAAATATATATAACAATAATATATATAAAATATAATGTTATTTCTATACATATATAAAATATATTAGATAAAAAAAATTGATTATATATATAAAAACGAAGATTTTTTAACTCTCGATATGTTTTCTTAAATTTAATTTTTCTTATTAATATTTTGCTTGTTAAGGATCATTCTTCGTCAAGAGCAAAAAGGGAGCATTCTAAAGCATCTTCAGACAGGTGGGTTTTTTTTAGCTTTTCGCTTTTTTAGAAACAGGTTTGAGTTATTATCGATAATATTTTGTCCAAGCTATTTTTATTTAAAGCAAATTTAATAATACCAAGTCTTGAAATTAGGAAGAAGAGATCGTCTCGCTCAGTCAAACAAGAATCCGGCGAAGGAAGCGAGGAACCTTCCGAAAGAAAAAGTCGTTCATCTCGTCGTTCAAAACATGTGAGCGATGAACCTGAAGAGAAAAAAGATATAACAAAAGTAGAAGGGCCAACGCCGAGCGTTAAAGAAGAACCAGCCGGAGATTGACATATAATAGATCTACGAAATATAATTAAGTGTTTTGAACGCTAACTTTCAGAGATGTGTCTATATAATATGGCTCATCGACATTATAGAGACGCATAAAATCGTTTGTAAATAAAAGAAGATTATTTGTTACTTTGCCATAAAATTTTTTTCGGCATAAATACAAAAAAGTCTTTAAATCATTTTTAAAGAGGACCTCATATTGATCATAACATTGAGCGGTTAATGAAAAAAAAGCGATGTATAATTTTAATTGTTTTGCCGATACACCTTTTCACAGTTCCGATATAAAATTTATGCGCACGCAGAAATGCAAGTAAAAACGTAAACAAACTTTCTTTTAACAGTAATTTATTTGAGATTTACCAAGCAAAACTAAGGTTTATCAAACAATATTATTAAACCAGTGCCATTAGTCTTATATTATTATTAGAAAAAAGAGCCTGTCTAATCCATTTTAAATAACACATTAAGAAATAAGTGAAAAAAAGTACCTCAAAACATTGACTTTTGGATTTGTAAAAAAATAATTCAACTATCTTATTTTGTACTCTAATGTAGTGTTAATGTACTTAATGTAGTGTTAAAAGCTAAATTTATGCATATATATATATATATATATATATATATATATATATATATATATATATATTCTGAAATAAGTTGTAAAATTTCCAGGACTTTTACAAATAGTTAGGGATTGCAATCCCGGGATCCCGGACGTTTTTGGGTCCCGAAAATCCCGGGATTCTAAACACAAAATCCTGGGATTTTCGGGATTATAGCAGGATTGAACTAATTAAATTATTTTGTAAAACAAAATGTTCAAAGTTGGTAACTATACTGAATTATAACGAGTTATATAATGCTGCTTTGCAGGTTTATCCTGTTTATGCTTTATCCTTACGATAAATGGAACAAATTTTTGAATAGACCATGGAGTTCGGGATTTTATCATTGAAAAAAGTTTCACAAACACAAATTAAGGCAGGTTTGTTTGACTATTGTATAAAAAACAATCGTTAAGTTTGTTGGCAAGACTTCTCGCGTTAAAAAGATAAATTTTAAAATTGTTGAGCGAATTTGTGGTTAAGGGATTGCGTGAGTTTATTAAGTCGTTTTGTTTATTTCAAAAAATATTTTTAGAGAATGAAAAAAATAAAAATGAACAAGTAATAAAAAAAAAAATTATATCTAAAAAAATTTAATGGTTACTACATAACAATTCCTTTTGGGATATTTCTAGCGATTTGTATAATTATATTTGTACAATTATTAGTTATTGCAACATTATTATGCCCTTGACAATTAATTCCGCTTGAAGGAATTCTAGTGTGAATACATACAAAATTTGACTGTGTAATGAATCGTTTTGAACGTTTTGAACTGATAACCTTTTTAATTTGTTGTTTACCGCAATAATATGTTGTTTACTAATGCACCTTAAAAAAATATCCTTCTAAACATGAATGAAAACAGTGAAAAGGGAACATCATTTTTTCTACACAAAAAGGATAAAGACCCAACTTCAGTGTGGTCACATTATTTGAAGTCTGCGGATAATTTGGCAGCAAAATGTAAGAAATGTGGTGTAATTTTGAAAACATTGGGTGGTTCTACAAAAGGCCTTCATACGCACTTATCAACTAAGCATAATTTGAAAGTAACTTCAGCCGACAAAAATTTACCTAGTTCGAGTCAACAGTTGAATGATGCCAGAACCGACGAGAAGTCTCCTACGAAACGAAAAATAACGAGTTACTTTGCATCCGAAAAAAAAAAACCTTAGACGAAACACTGGCTCGAATGACAGCTTTAGACGGGCTAACATTTAATGTATTTATAACATCAAAAGATTTAAGGCAATTACTGATTACCAGTGGTTTCGAAAATTTGCCCAAGTCAGCAAACTCAATTAAAAAGATAGTGGTGAGTTACAGGTTAAATATTAGACAGTTAATTTCCAAAGAAATTTATAAATATAAAGCTTTGGGAACACGATTTTCTCTGAGCTTTGATGAATGGACCTCTACAACAAATAAAAGATACATGAATATTAATGTACATATCCCAAATAAGCACTGGAATTTGGGTCTTATTCGTTTATATGGTTCTATGAATGCTAAGAAATGTATTGATGTTTTAAAAACACGTCTAAAGGAGCATAATGTTAATATTGATACAGACATTGTTGCTATTGTTACGGATGGTCCAAATGTAATGGTTCGTGTGGGAAAAATTATTGAGGCTGAACACCAGTTGTGTTTAGTCCATTGCAGTTTGTGATGTTCTTTATAAAAAAAGTTCTACGCCAATATCCGACACCGAAGCACCATTGAAGGAAACTCAAGATATTGTTGATGAAACAGATGATCACGAAGATGGAGAAAATATCGACGAGGAAATGGGATTAGGCTTTCTTCCCTTAAAAAATGATGGGATAGCAAATATGGATTTACTCACCAATGAACAAAATATCAATGAACTAGTGAAAAAAGCCCGTAAGGTAGTTGTTCTTTTTAAACGAAAAATGATGCAGTCTTGCAAAAATATGTCAAAGAAGAGAAAGGCAGCGAGCTTTTGCTCATTTTGGATTGCAAAACAAGATGGAACTCTCTTCTATCGATGCTAGAGCGTTTCCTTGCTTTAAAAACATGTATACAGAAAGCTTTAATTGACTTAAACCACCCAGTTTCCTTAAACGAAAGTGATTTTGTGGCTCTTTCGGAAATAATAGAAATACTTGCACCTGTCAAATTAGCAGTAGATGCGTTATGCAGACGAGATGCTAATCTATGCGCTGCAGATGCAGTACTTATATTTTTATTCCAGCAGATTGCTCAAAAACAATCTCCCTTTGCTAATAAAATGTTCCAAGCTATAAAAACAAGAATGGAAAAAAGACGATGTGAAGAAATTTCTGGTGTTTTAAAAAACCTTCAAAATCCAAAATATGATGCTGGGAATGATGAAACAAATGTCTGCAAAATTTTTGGAGTTCCTCCTAAAACCCTTATTAGGAAGCAGATAAAAAAACTTATTGAGAGACTAGCTGCTTTTAAAAATGATAATTTAGAAAAATCAAGTATTGATGTTGATGATAATATAATGGCTGTCGTTAGAAATGAAGAATCACAAGTTCGAGCCTCCCTGTCTTCAAAGAGAAAAGAACAAATTGCACAAAGCATGAAAGCCATTGAACCAGAAACACAAACCTCAAATTTAATGTCAATCATAAAGAAAGAAATGTATCTGTTTGAAAATGGTGGAAACCGGGGGCATAATTTGGAATTAGTATACCAATATTTGTTATCTATTCCACCGACGAGCATCGAACCTGAGCAGGCATTTTCTGCAGCTGGGTATTTGGGAAGTAAAATAAGGAGTAGGCTAAATGATCAAACTTTAAATGCTCTACTATTGCTCCGGGCATATTTTCAGACAAAAAAAGAAAGTTTGTAAATAAAATATGCATTTAATATGAATTGTTTTTTTGTTTTACATTTATTATTTAGCTACCATTTATTTATAAATATAAAATAAAGATTTTCTTTAATTTTTGTCTCTCAATATTAACAAACAACTTATTATGTTATTTTTTACAAAGTAGCTTGTTGCTACAGCTGCTACATCGGTACCCAAATTTAAGAAAATTTATATTTACAAATTACACTTTAAATACACTTTAAATACACTTTAAATGTTCAAATGTTATTTACATATCCAATTATTTGATGAAGATTATTCTGTAAAGTCTGTAATCTTAAAACATAATATGGAAGGTACCGTATATATATTTCTGCATTATTTTAAGATCTTTATATACACCTGCTACCTGTTACACAATTAAAACAATTTAAGGCGCCGTAGAAAATTAATGTAAGTCATTAAAACATAATGAAATTAAATAAAGAATTGATAACATCAAAAAGTATATTCATATATGCAGTATTAAGTTCTGTTTTTTAGCAAATAACTCACATTATATGAAATACCGGGATACCGGGATCCCGGGATTTTATTTACTTCAATCCCGAAATCCCGGGATCGTAATTCATGCCCGGGATTGCAATCCCTACAAATAGTACAAGTACTAATCTAAAGTAAAAACCTGCAACATTACAATAAAATAATAATGATAATAATATAAATAATAATAATAACAATAATAATAGTAATAATAATTATAAAAATAATAATAATAAGATGACGATGAAGTGGAATATTATTAGTAACAATACTACAGTAATAATAAATATATATATATATATATATATATATATATATATATATATATATATATATATATATATATATATATATATATATATATATATATATATATAATATTTATATCTTTATACCGCGGGATATATTTATATATAGCGGTGCTCTATGATAAGACCGTAAGGACTTCTGGGAGCACCTAAATACATACAAATATATATATATATATATATATATATATATATATATATATATATATATATATATATATACACATATATATATATACACATATATATATATGTATATATATATACGCATATATATATATATATATATATATATATATATATATATATATATATATATATATATATATATATATATATATATATATATATATATATATATATATAATATTTATATCTTTATACCGCGGGATATATTTATATATAGCGGTGCTCTATGATAAGACCGTAAGGACTTCTGGGAGCACCTAAATACATACAAATATATATATATATATATATATATATATATATATATATATATATATATATATATATATATATACACATATATATATATACACATATATATATATGTATATATATATACGCATATATATATATATATATATATATATATATATATATATATATATATATATATATATATATATATATATATTTAGTTCTTTATATTTCATTGTCATTTGAGCTGCACCATTCCTTCCAACCAGAGGGAACTGTGTGGTAGATGTAATGTTCAGAACATTTAGTTGTTAATATTAAACCCTTAATCATAAGAGTAATTTAGAATACAATCTAAACATTTATTGCGATTTGTAATTTCTTTATCCAAAATTTAGCTTCTGTAAGCTTTAGAAATTATTTAAAGAAATT